GCCTGACCTCTGCCCTGTTTGGGTCAGTGGTACGAGCCCCTGTAGCTCTGCTGTTACAGAGCTCTTTTAGCTGTGCTTTGGAAGCGTCTACTCTTCGGTAAGCCTCCTGCCTGCTAGTGCTCGTGTTCTGAGGGCTGGGGGTCCTGCTGCACGGGCCTCCTGGTTCTACTGCTGCTTCTTACCACTTTTCCCGCGTTAGAAGTCTTTGGCTCCTGGATTGAGGGGATTCTTGGTCTTGGAATGCTGTACTCTTTTCTGTTTCTGTAATGGCTCATTTTTAGCGTAATAGGATTGCAAAACTGACCAGTCCCCCCACATTAGTATCCCATATACCTGATTTGTGTGGTTCTACTTCTTAGGGGGAACTTACCTGATTAACAAGCTACTAGTCCTCTTGGTGGGCCACAGCACCTTCCATTTTATATAAGGTGCGCCTGATTTGAGCCATGGTCTCTTCATTTACTTGCTTTGCATCTGAAAGTTGGGCAGTGACAGACTATGGATGACAGCAAAGGAAGAAACTTTGTCTTGAGAAAGAGCAGCTAGAGTGCTCCAGAAGGCAGAGAGGGTGAAGCTTTGTCTCCTATCCTCTGGGCATGTTGGTAGGAGAGTCTAGTGCTGGGAAAAAGACATGATACTTGGAAAGGTATGCGAATGAAAGAAAGAGAAGACCCTCAATGAGATAGAGTTGACACAGTGACCGTTAACAATGAAAGGGCTCAAGTACATGAGAGATGATGACGATGGCAAAGGCTCGGGTGTGGTTCAGATCCCTTGTTCTGAGGGTCGCTGTGAGTCATAGTAGATTTAATGGGACCTAACAATGTGTCTCCCGTGAAAGATTGTGAAAGGCCCATACCAAGTACTGTACCTCATATACCTTGATATTTTTGAAGAGTACAAACTAGCTATCTAGAATATCTGATATTCCTTATCGTTTATGCATTTTGGACAAGAATCTAATAGAAGTTTGAGGCCTTTTAAAATTCTTGTTAGAAAGAACATGATGTTGATCTGTCCCATTACTAGTAATGTTAATATTTGCTAAGTTTCTCAATTGTACAGTGAAAAGCTTATTTGTACTTATTGTTGGTGAGTATAATCGAATTGGAATTGACCCACAGCTGACCCCTCAGTAGGTTTTCAGAAGCAGTTAATCTCACTGAAGGAGATTGCCAACCTCCCGTGGAGCAGCTGGTGGATTAGAACCGTGGGCCTATGTGATTGCAGTGCATTTTCTTACTAGTAAGCCACCAGAGCATCCTGTTGTACTTTTTAGAAAATAAACTTTGTAGAGTGATACTCTGAGACCATGTTTCTATCCTATTCCTTATCAAAAGTTCCAGTTTTAGCATCTTTTAATGATTTTTACTGGAATCAGATAGTATACTATGAAATGTACCAATGATTGTTTCCTCAGTCCCTAATTTTAAGAGTTGTTGTTGTTGATTGCTGTTGAGTTGAGCATCACTCTATGAATAACGAGACCCTATGAATAAAAGACCTGAAGCCTTTCTATAACTATTTTTGTTTCTCCAAGTTCATAGAGTCTCCAGAGGCATGTGGTTTAGGAAGTGGATACCAGTCCTACTTCCAAACCAGTCTTAAACTGGGAGCTCCACCAAACACCATCCACCATGGGCAGCAATTACGGTATTTGAGACCCCACTACAAGGTTCAACATCACAACAAACCCAGATGACCTCAGTACAGCAAAGTGACAGAAGACTGCTGTAGGATTTAGAAGAATGTTCATACAAAATATAGTAACAAGGGATTAAAATATCCCTTGGGCCCAATTTTTTAATTTAATTTAATTTTTTTAAATTTTATTTTAGTAATTTCAATGAACGTTTACAGAGATTTTAGATTTCCATTCATTCATTGTTGCTCGATTTTCTCTACGATTTCCCCCCAGTTCATTCTTCTTTTTTTTTCTCCTTTAAAGTATGTTTTAATTGTCCCATTGCCACAATGCTTGTCAAAACCAGTTCTGATTAATCTCCTTTGTCAGTGTGTCCTTTGCCATTCCCTATCACTCCTCCCTGAGAGAGATTTCACCCTGATTCGTAAGGAAAAGGGAACGGCATATTCTCTTAGCTACTTCCTGCTGAAAAAGGATGCTGTAGGTTTCAGGGTGAAGATCTTCGGGCCCAATTTTTAAATACCAGTTCCCTCCAGGAGGTCTTGTTGACTCTAAACAAGAGGCTTAAATAAAAAAACATTCCACATAGATCTTCAACCCAAACAAGAGCACCATTTTAGAGTCCAGCCGTTTCACCAGCTCCAAAGTGGAGATGAAGGGCCTGGCGTTATATGTTGTTAAGTGCCATCAAGTAGTGACCCTACGTTAACCCTGTTGTATAACTGTTGTCCTTTCTGTAAGTTCATAGAGTTTCCACAGGCATGTTTAGGAAGTGGATGCCACTCGTGCTTCCAAGCCTGTCTTAATCTGTGAGCTCTACCAAACATTGCCCACCATGTGTAACCATTATGGCATTTGATGCACCAATGGCACACCGTTCAGTATCAAGGAATCCTAAGTTACCTCAGTACAGCGAAATGACGGAACAGTGCTGTACCACGTAGGAGAATGTTCATTTTCAAACACAAATTAAAATAGCGGGATAGCTAGGTCAAATGATCTATTTCCAACTTTAGGAGGAAATGCCTGACTGTCTTCCGTAGTGGTTGTGTCATTTTACATTTTCACTAGGAGTTTGTGAGAGTTCTTTTCGGTCTTTCCACATCCTCACCAGCATTTGCTGTTTGCTCTCCTGTTGAACTTTGTTGTTGTTGCTGGGGCAAGGTGATGTCTCACTGTTTTGATTTACATCGAAACTAAGGCTACTGAACATTTCTTCATGTGTTTGTTGACCGTCTGACTTTATCTTTGGGGCGGTGTCTATTCAGATCTTGTTGCCATTTTGTGATAAGGTTATTTTGCCTTTTTTTTGTTGTTCTTGAAATACTATAAATTTTAGCTATGAATTACTTAACAGTTACGTCATTGCTAAATATTTTTTTTCCAGTCTGTGGGCTTCTTTGTAACCTGTTGGAGAAGTTTCTTGATGTGCATAAGGATTTGATTTTTTGTAAGTTTTTTGTTATGCTTGCGAGTCTATTCGTGCTGTAGAGTGGGGCTTCTGGAGTCATTCTTACCTTTTTCTTTTTTTCTTCAAATACTGAAAAGGGTTTCAGATTGAATATTTTATTAACATGGTAATTGTCTTTGTAACATGTGCACTCACACTTGCACACTCAGAATGATCTGCTTGAGGTAAAAAGCCTAAAATATGCCTAAGGGGGATAATGAGAAATAAAAAAATTCCTGTAGATTTTCATTATTGTAGGCAATTATGTCCACATCACTTACAAAGCTATTGCCAAATCTGTCCAAGGAAGCAGTTTAGGGGGGAGGGGGGATCTTAGGGAAAAAATTCAACAGTGGCATAGCAGAGCTTCTTTTTTTTTAAGAGTACATGTTGATTATTTGATCTTGTGTAATTGATTAGTTTAAGGGATGACAGTACACATTAGTTGATAATACTTATTTTATGAGTCAGTCTGTTGTTTAAATGAGAGGTGACCTCTGGGAGTAGCTTTGTTGTTACTTACTGTCCAGTCAGAGACCAGCCCATAGCTGACACTCTAGCAGGTTTTCAGCGGCAGTAATTCACAGGAATGAGATTGCCGGACTTTCTCCCACAGAGCAGCTAATTGATTTGAACCACATGTCTTTGGGTTGGCAGCACAATTTCTTACCACTGTGCCACCAGAGCTCCCTTTCCTATATGTACTGTGCGATATTTTTTGTTGGTTGTCATTGTTGTGAAACTAATTTATAAGATTGATTATTTCTTCTAGATTCTTTAGCTGGCATTCTCCTGCAGGGTAGAACTTTCCTATTCTCGTGCTTTTTGTACTTTTATCAGTATGACATTCTTTTCTCAGTGGGCTGCAAATCACTACACAGTAATGGTCCTGACTCTTGGTCCTAGTTTTTCCAACTGGATGAGGAGGAACACGGTTTTATGCTTACTGATGATTATTTTGGCTGCTGTGTGAATAGATCTGAAAAGAAAGAGAAGGGCAGCTCATTTTCCGCCTTTGGTTTTGCTGCCCTTTGGGATGGCTGAGACACTTGGGCGTTAGTCTGAAGGAGGGGCTAGCGGCACCTTTGATGAGCTGTGTGGAGGGAAGTGTGGAAGTGAACATGGCCATACACATCGGAAAATTGATATTTTTTTTAAAGCCACAGTTCCTCATAATTTGTCCAGTAGCGTGATTATCTTAATGAGGAGGAAGAGGAGGAGTTTAAGAAACTCATAATTTTCTGGGTAGATACTCATTTACTTTTAGACAAAAACAGTTGATAAATGTTTTTCTGTGGTAGTTATGAGGTGGATTGATTCAGTGACTGGGATAATTGGGATGGGAGTGTCAGAGACAGTGCGATTGGCACAGGACAGAGCGGAGTTTAGGGCTGTTGTACATAGGGTCGCTATGAGTTGCAGGCGACTCGACGGCACATAACAACAACAAGCAACAGTTTTTACTTTGGATTTCACTTCATAAACTAATTTAGATAATGGAAGGAAGCATAGTTACCTTAGTAGGAAATAGCATTTTAAAAAATACATAGGTTATCTGAGTAATTGTTAGTGTTTGTTTTCAGCCAGAAATAATTGAGAAATATTTTTCTGTGGTGGTGGGTATGTATTTTTGCTCATAGTTTTTTCATTATGTACTTTGTTCCTGGTTTACGCATTAAATGACTACTTTCAGAAATCTAAAAATAGCTGATTGTGCTTGCTTGATGGGTCATTTGAAGGGAGTAAGCACAGTTTATATATATTCTTTTTTTTTATTTTTATTTTTTTTAAATTTTTTTCTTTTTTTTTAGTTTATATATATTCTTAAACAGATTGTATTGAACAGAAAAATGTGTGTAATATTTATTCCAATCCTATTTTTTTTCTCTGATTTTTAGATACTATGATCAGATTTGTTCCATTGAGCCCAAATTTCCATTTTCTGAAAATCAGGTAAGATTGATTTTAATGTATTTTAAGATCATATAGTATTACAAAATACCCATTTCTTTCTACCCATGATTTCATTTTACTGAAATAAGTAGTATCTCTTCACTGTTTTGAGGTTCTCTAGGGTAGCACTTTTATACAAATGGGGAATATTTAGACCTATCTGATTTGCATCTTTTTCCCTTTTGAAGAAGGGTTCTCCTAGAATTTTATTGGTGCAGTTCCTTACGCACATCTGGGCTCAAGTGGGTCTTTGAACTGCATTTCTGTCAATAGACTCTGGACTAATTAGTGTAATTATTATACCTTTCCTGTTGACTTTTTCAGACATAAGTAGGAAACTATATATACTTCAAGAAGTATTAGTTTTAATCTTCATGATGTTGCTTTGAAAAATACTGGTGGGAGTTTACATTTGTATGTAAATATTATAAAAGCTGTTAAGCTTTGAGTGTACACTTTTAATATCACCAGCTTCATTCTCTCATTAAGAGAATGTTGAAATAAAATTTCATGCTAGTCTTATTTGGGAGACCTATTAAAAGTTTTTAAGTTGTTGAAGTATGTGTACATTTTATAAATAGTGTTACAAAAAGGACTTTGAAGGGAGCTCTGGTGGCCTCGTGGTAAGAAGCTGCACTGCAATCCCAGAGGTATGAGGTTCAGATCCACCAGATGCTGTGCTGGAGAAAGGGGGCAATCTCCTCTTGTACCAGTCAGATCTAATTTGATGGTACACACACACACACAAATAATAAAAACCAAAAAGCCCTTTAAATATCCTTATAGTAACACTTTTATAGGTAGATTGATATGTCTGAGATTTGCTTTAAGATAATCCAGGAAAAGTGTGTGTGTGTGTGTGTGTGTGTGTGTGTGTGTGTAGAGGGTTAGGTGGGTTAATGAGTAGGTGGAAGGTAAAAAGTTGAAGCTGGTGATGAGCATATATGGGTGTTCATTATGTTATTCTTTCTACTTTCACAGAAAAATAACCGAACCCACACATATTTAACTATGCTTAAAAAAATTTCCTAGACATGAATTTAATACAATTTTGTATTAGGCAGGATGAAATAATTTAGATGAGGTCAAGTTTTAGATTCCCCCCAAACTTTGCCGTGTGGACGCCTTTAAAAGTGGAGTTGCTCGGCAGCTGTGAGGAAGACAGACAGTCTCTTCCTGTATGATTAGTGGCCTCTCAAAAGCTGCTGGGTGGTCAACTATGAGCCAGTCCCACCCTGACAACAATGAGTGTTTATGAGTTTGTCCTCATGGAGTGATTGCTGTAAATGTTATCTTCTGGGAGGTCTGCCGTACACACCCTTTGCCTTTCCTTCTCCTAGTTTACTTGACAGGCGTTTTAGTAAGTGTTCAAATCATTGTGCTTATAAAGATGAATGAGGTGATTTTTTTGGAGAAGACAATATGTGTATATTGTGGATCTAAAATAATTATTTGAAACTGAAGTTTAAAAATTTAAGTTTTTAATTTGGAGTCATGGAAGAGGAATTGGTTGGTTAGAGGAAGTAATGCTTTAGACAGGTAGAGACATTTGCCTTTTAGCTCACTTTTGGTTTTCTGGAAAGAGATACTACATCTAAGCAACATCCAGGAAGGTAATGTAATTTTCTATTTTTTCCTCTTTATCTAGATTTGTTTGACATTTACCTGGAAGGATGCTTTTGATAAAGGCTCACTTTTTGGAGGATCTGTAAAATTGGGTATGTGTGTAGTTTTTATAAAAATAAAATAATATATAATACAAAACATTTAAACTCTGTATCCTTAGGTCTTTAACATTGCTTTCCATATAAGTCTTTGTGACTGCTAAGGCTTTTGTGGTTTGTTTTTTTAACTTTGTAATGTGTTGAGGTCACAGTTCATAGTGCCAAGGATTGTTTGGTGCAGAGCACGGGCCAGATACTTCTGATGTCTTGATTAACTGGTGTTTGCAACTAACAGAATAAACAGTACAGGGATGGGTAGAACAGAATACATCATCGGCAGGCAGTGCGCCTTAAGTTGTGATCAGGTCCCCGAGGGTGATGTTAGGATTGCATCCAGAAGTGCCTCACTGTGCTCCCTGGATGAGAAGGCTTAATACTAGCATCATTTATGTGCTAGACAGCACATGAATGAGACTGTGGGGAGAGGGTACCAAGAAGAAAAGGTCCCTGTGGGCAGGAACGGCACTCACTGCTTTCTGCTTAGGGTGTCACCGTCTCCTCCATCCTTTCTCCTTTGCCCCCACCAAGATAGCAAAGGTTTGGAAGATCTCCAAGGCAGTCTGCTTTCTCTCTGGGGTTTTGTCTCCCATTTCATCTGACAAATCACTTTGTTTTGCAAATGGCTGTATTGTGCCCTCATGTAAGTTTGGTTTGAAATTCTAACATTGGCGTTATTCTTGACTTTATTTTTCATTGGCAAAGCCTAGAATTTTTCTTTAAAATACTCTTATTACCTCTGTCGCTGCTGTCAGCTTTTGAGCTGTGATTTTAGTTCCTCCTTTTGGTTTTTAAATTGCTGCTCCTTTACTTCCTCTTCCACAGCGGGGACACAGTGATTCTCTGTTCAGACGTGTACAGGCTGACTGTTGTTTTGTGCCATCAAGTTGGAACCTACTCATAGCTGACTCTCCAGCGAGTGTGCAGAGGCAGTAAATCACACAGGAGATTGCCCATTCTTACTGCCTGGCTACGCCAGAGGAAGAGCTAACGGCTTCACGGCACAAATCGGCTCTCCTTCTCTGACCTGTTTGCTTACCATTTTTCATTTGCCTGTTGCTTTCCATTCTTGTTAGGTGCTGTTGTGTTGATTCCACCTCAGTTAACCCCACAGGGCAGAGCAGAACCACCCCATTTCCCCTGGCTTGTCTAGGCTCTCAGCTTTATGGGAGTGAGTCACAGGGTCTGGGCCCCTTGGAGCTGTGGGCTGGATTTGAGTGGCCAGATTTTCTGTTTTAGATGAATGCTTGTTACTTAACCAGGGCTCTTCTTTGTAACAACTATATTAACCTATGTATTTACAACATAGAACTTTTAATATATGTTTAATTAATTTAGATTCTTTTCTTTCAGAACTCATAGGTACTTAGTCTTTTGTCCTTTAGTATCCAGTGTTTATGAAAACTAATTTTGCTCTTTTATAGGAAACGAGTTTTTATTCCCTAGGAACATTTTTTTATTTGATCTTCCTTTATCCATTATGTTTAGGCTTTGAAGATTTAACTGGAACTCATTTTATTCTTTGTATGTGGCATTTGTTGATGGTCTTTGCAGGTTGAAGACTCATGCCATATGCTGTAAAGCAAAATAGCAGAGTTTGGTTGAAATGAAAAGTAAGCAGCTCTCATTAAGAGACAAGAAAATTTGCAGATTGACAAATTTGTAATGGTCAGGGTATTTGGAATGACATGATCTAAGGAAGTGATAGTTTAGAGAGTTTATGTACGAAAATTAAAGGAAATTTAGTGAAAATTCAGTGTCTGGTTGATATATGTATACATATGTATACTTGATAAAAACTTAAGCAAAATTCCATAATTGCGGCTAGGATGTGCCTGCATTGACTCAGGTGTTTAGTAATGAGAAACTGGCCTTACTGTGAGTATCCACTCTGTCTGAAGTACACCTAGTGAGTGGGGCGCTCTGAGGACCTAGTAGGAAGCACCTTCGCTGCGATCCTACCGGCACGTTCAGATGCACCCCCTGCCTCGCCAGAGGAGGATGGTCAATCTCCGGTGCGATTGACTGCCTCTGAAAACCTGCCAGAGGGTCACCTGTGAGTTAGTTCTGACTCAGTGGTACATAACAGAAACCACAGCACCACCTAGTGAGCAGGCTTAATTTTGAGAGGTGTTGGTACAATGGAAGGATTTTATTTGAATTAAGGAAATTAAGCAATATGAAAATGCCTTATACTTTGAAACTGACTAAAGGAGAATGAAATGACAGTTTTATGTTGGCTTGAATTTTAGGTAGTAGAATGCTGTAGGAATAGATGTCTGACAAGAGACTTAGAAAATGGGGGCTGCTTTATAGGTGAGAAAACATGTCTGGAAACTGGGTTTTGTGAGTCCGTAGGATGGAAGTCTAATATTTCTTGTTTTTATAAGAAGAAATAATCCTACAATTTTCCCTCTTCCACTCTCCTTACAGCTCTTGCCAGCTTAGGATATGAGAAAACCTGCGTGCTGTTCAATTGTGCAGCCTTAGCCAGTCAGATTGCTGCCGAGCAGAACCTGGATAATGATGAAGGCTTGAAGGTCGCCGCTAAGCACTATCAGGTATGCGGAAGAGTGCTTCTTACCTCATGAATTCCGGCTCATTGATGTCACTGGAAAAGAACTTGTAGCTTTGTAAATCCTTCTTTACACACAGTTGTTTTCTTGCAAGTAATGTGCTTTTAAAAAGAATTCATATTCTCGAGACTCCTAGATAAACGTTACATATAAACTCTTCCCTCCCTCACCATTGAATGTGTACCTACACCTAGTCCAGGGCTTGGCACATAATAGAGGCTCAGTAAATGTGGATTGAACGAATAAGGCAAAATCTTGGTAAATCCCTTTAAAACCAATTACTGTCATTTAAAAATTTGTTATTTCTATATGTTGTTTAAAAATTGAGGGGGCACACCTAACATTTTACCAGTGTCACAAAAATTAAGACCTCTTGTTGAGAAAATCAAAGTTCATTTCTGAGACTGAAGAAGTGTTGCAGACCGAGGGTTAAGTATATTTATAATTATTAGTAATGAGACAGACAACCAGGAATGAGCTAGAACAGAGAGCGTAAAAGACAGGGGGCCAGCAGTTCTCCACTGAAGGGCTCCATTCCTGCTTCCCTGTATCTTTACTGAAAATTATCAGAATGTGAATCACAAAGAGAATTCAATGCAAATGAAGCCAGGCTCTTTCTATTGAAAACCTTCTGCTTGACTCAGGAGGGAGGGGTCAGAAAATACAATGTAGGAGTCCGGTAAACCTTTAAGGATTGCCTTGGTGCCTCAGAGTGAATTCTAGCACCCGCCTCCTCCACATTCGGTTTATTACAACTATTTAGTATTGGCTTCCCATAAAAAAGACATACTTCAGTGTGATTAGATGATAGCATTTTCCGCTTTGATACACCCATTCTAGATTCCAATAGTTTATTCAGTATGGCCCATTTTGGCGTAGTTTCTTACTCAGAGCTTTGTCTCACTTAAGGAACAGTTAAATGATGATGATGATGATGATTACTAAGTCCTATATAATTATGTCCTCATATTTCATATTGCTTTATATTTTATACAGGGATCTCTGGTCACATAGTCCATAGGGCTTTGCACTGCTGACCCCAAGGTGCTGCCTTTCACCTGCTTGGAATCTACTCTCTGCTCCATGGGAGAAAGATTGAAAATCTCCTTTGGGAGGGTTAGTTAGGAGTTACTTCTCACTTGATAGTACGTAACAAAAAGGCTTCCCGTTCCTCTCACCTTTTGATTCTAGCCTGATTTTATTGGTTTACTAAGCTGTATGAGTTGATTACCCCTTGCAGAAACTTGAATTTTACAGTACTTCATGATTGGAGGAAACATGAAGTTCAGTTTAGTACAGTTAACGGAGTATCTCTGTGTAGCTTACCTGAATACACAGTCTTTGAATCCCAGACGGACTTACTGCCAGTGTGTGTTTCCTAAGAGCTCAGTTGTTTTAGCGTTAACCTCATCAGAATAGGATTGGGAAGCTCGACCTGGTGGGGAGGTTCACGAGGACCTCTGATGGTTACATGGCTACGTGCAGTGGCTGGTATGACCGTCCGCAGAAGACTAGGTGTATGTACTACTTTGAGTTTCTCTCGAGTTACCTGGCTTCTAGGAACCATCACAGGGTCTTGGGTTGTTAGCCCAAAGGAAATGTGTCTTCTGGGAGTTTGGGTACACCAGCAATGCTACGGGAGAAAGATGGCCAGTCTCCTCTTGTTTCTGTCCATCCCTGGAAACCCAACAGAGAGTCACTATGAGTTGGAACCTACTCGAGGCCAGTGAGTGGGTCGTCCACTGCGGTCACGTCAGTTCCAGCTCGTAGTGACCCTGTAGGACAGTAGAGTTGACCCATGGGGTCTCGTAGCCTATGAATCTTTATGCAGACTGCTGCATACAGGTTTTTGTACTGCCACGCTGTTGGAGGGGAGCGGGTTAACCACTCTGCTAGCAGGACTCGTTTCCTCTGAAAAGAGCAAGCTACGGAAGAGGTGAGGTTTCCCTGGGATCAAATGGAGAGCATTTTAGTACCAAAAAAACAGTGATGTTTAGCCCTTCTGCTGTTACCATGCTGCCTTGACGGCTTCTCTCGAAAGAAAACTCAGTTAATTGCCTCTGTGACTTTATCTTATTGTCCCTGTAATTTACTTTTAACCTTTTTATAAATCTCCTGTTATTTTATAAAGTATTGTTGAAAAAGTATTTCAAGTGGTTTTGCTTTTTTCCCTCTGTGAAAATATAACTATAAGTCTTTAGAGGTGACATTTGAAATCGTCATTGTGTGTGTAACTTGAAAATTAAGGCTTGCTGAATTTTGTAGACTTAAAAAAACCTTTCCTTTTCCCTTCTTCCTCTAGTTTGCTAGTGGTGCCTTTTTACATATTAAAGAGACGGTTTTATCTGCCTTAAATCGAGAGCCGACTGTGGACATTTCTCCGGACACCGTTGGGACCCTCAGTCTTATTATGCTTGCTCAGGCCCAAGAAGTATTTTTTTTAAAAGCCACAAGAGGTAATTCAAGTTTTTTCTTCATTTTGTTGCGTATGTGAAGAAGTGGTAGACTTTTAAACGAAGAAGGTAATTACAATATAAAGTGTTCAGTAGAGAGCTGTCCTTTTTGAACTTTGATTCATGGCTTAATGAATTTTCCAGCTCTCCTTTTTTGAATTAGTTATAGTTCAAGTACACGTTTAAAGTTGTAGTCTTTATGTGCAGGGGGTGAATTTCTGAGAACTTCTTAGCTATACCAGACATGCTGAGGAAATGAGTCACTGGGCTTGGAGACTTAGGACCACAGTCTTGAGTCAGTTGCCATAACAGACTCGACAGAGACAATGTTCTGCGTCCTTTCATCATGAGTAGTGACTGGGGTCTTAATGACTTGTACGTGGCCATCCCAGCTGCAACAGTAGGTCTTTGCCCACCTGGAGCAAAGGAGTCTGAAGAAAATCAAAGACTCAAGGAGACAATCTAAAGGGCTCTTGGATCATGTGACCCAAAGCCCTCCTTAACCAAGACAGAAGAACTAGTTTGTGCTTGTCTGTCACTATGTACTACTCTGACCAGGATCTTAATAGAAGGTCTTAGAAGACAAAACCTGTAGAGCAAAATTGAAAATAAACAAAGACCACATTCAGTGCCACTAGAGACTGGTGGAAAGCCCTTAGACTGACTCTTCGATAACCTTCAAGTTTAGTGCTGAAAGACATTCTCAAGGATCAACTTCCAACCAAGTATGAGACCGAGCTCTCACATGAATAACAACACCGTGGAGGACTGTATTCCACGGAGACCAGAAGAGCAGCATTTCCCAAAACCAAAGCCGAGTCAGCAGGAAGGGGCAGGAAGGAAGGACAAGTGGAAACAGGGAGCCAGAGAGGAAGAGGGCGGCATGCTGTCGGTTACAGGGGTTGCAGCCAGTCATGAAGCAGACGTGCACAGATTGTCGAGTAGAAAACCGTGAATTTGCTTTGGAAACTTGCACTGAAAGTATAAAAGTGAAAAAAACCCTGTAGGTCTGCCAAGAAATAATAAATAGCTTACCTGAAACACTTTAAGTTCTGCTATAGTATTTATAGTCATAAGATGTCACGTTTTATTGATGTAGCTGTTATTTATTGGGAACCTACTATGTGCTAGTCACTGTTCTTTCTAGGCTTCAGAGACAGTAGACAAGTAACATTATTTTCAGGAAGCTTGCATTTTGTGTTGAAAGTGGCAATAAAAGGAAGAAATTCATTAGTCATGAGCATAGGAATGAGTATTAACAAGAAAATGAGAATGGATTATGTGTTAGTAACTGGTGGTATGGTTGTGAGTTAATGTAGATGAAGTTATTCCAATTTAGATTCATTAGTTAAGAAGGGCTTGTTTGAGGAAGTCTTGTGAGAAATTAACCTAAAAGACATCTGAGTAGAGTCCCTTGTCCCGTACGTGAGGGAGTAAGGACAGTTTACTCTTCACTTTGTGACTGTTACTATCTGACATTACACATTTATGACAGTGTTAAGCAGTCTGTTTTGTACATTAATGCCATACCTCGGGCAGTAATGAGTACTGAGCTGTGAGGTGAGAGTAATACTGGCTGTGAAGATCATGTGTCTCTGTGGCTGGGTTGTGAGTCCCAGTGTGGAATGCTGTTTTCTGGAACTATTATAGTGATATAATTGGCAGTGATGTAAGAGATAACCGTAAATAGTGATGCCATCTTTGGGTCTGGGTTCTAATGCAGTCATTCTCCATCATTGCCTAATAACAGTTTTCACTTCATGACCTAGTTTTTGCAGCTTGACCATGTGGATGGATAAGTGAGGAGTAGAGGATGTGAGAATTTGAAATAGGAATCAAATATATAAATGCAGAGAAATTGAAAATAAGAGACCAACCATTATGTGGAAGAAATATAAATTAAGATTTTTTTTGGGGTGGGGGGAAGAATTCCCTTCATGTTGAGATCTACTTCACATACTGTAATATCTACTCTTCCATACAGTTCAGTAATTTTAGTATATTCATAGAGGAATGCAAATTTCAGAACATTTTCATTTCCCCAAAAGGAAATTCATATGGTTTAGCACTGATTTCCCATTCTCCTTTCCTTCTAGTTTCTATAAACCACTTCTTATTTTCTATCTCTATGAATTTACTCAGAGGATAATTAAGTTTTACACAGAAGAATTTAATTAATAAGGATTTCTTAAAGACAAATATTCAAACATGAGCTCTGTACACTCTGATCTATACTGTGTCATGCTGTGTCTATACTGTGTCAGATTACTGCATATGCTTATTTTCATGATAATGATCAATTTAATATTTTATTCTAGATAAAATGAAAGATGCCATCATAGCTAAATTGGCCAATCAGGCTGCAGATTACTTTGGCGATGCTTTCAAACAATGTCAGTACAAAGACACTCTCCCCAAGGTCAGTTACTATTTTTGTACACAGTTAACCAATATTGCATGTGGAAATTGTTGCATATTTTGGCAAAAAAGCAAGTTAAAAATTTTATACTTTAAGCTAAGAGAATACGCCATCCCCTTTCCCTTATGAATCAGGGTGAAGTCTCTCTCAGGGAGGAGTGATAGGGAATGGCAAAGGACACACTGACAAAGGAGATTAATCAGAACTGGTTTTGACAAGCACTGTGGCAATTGGACAGTTAAAACAGACATTTGGAGGGCGGGGGAAGAAGAACAAACTGGGGAAGAAGTTAGAGAGAATGGTACAGCAATGAAGGAATGAAAACCCAAAATCCCTGTAAATGTTCATTAATACTAATAAAATTTAATAATAATAAAAAAATTTATACTTTAAAGAAATTTGAAATTTTAAGAGAGTCAGTTAGAATTTGTGTAGTTATTTGCTATTTATTTGTTTTTCAACCTAATTTAAAACACATGAAACTTGTTTTATATTTCAGGGATGCCATTGTCTTTGCGCTTTACTGAACTTGTTTTTCCAAGCTCCCATTCTTTGTGGCGATAACAGACTGTCTTATCTCCAGTCTTACCAAATGAAATAATTGTGTACTTCTCAGTCATAGGCGATTTAGTACAGAATGAATATTTCACATGTTAATTATGCACACCTTCAGTTGTCTTATTAAGGTTTATTTTTAATAGAACATTAAAAAACCAAACGTGAGAAAGCAAAAAAAAGAATGGTTCAATTCAGTAATCTAATTAGAATTAGTTTTTGTTAATAGCTGCTTGAACAGCTGAGGAAAAGTGACTCTAAACCACTTGCTATAGGAAGTACTGTGCTTTAATGCAAGCTTTTCTGGAGTGTAATTGATAATACTATTGTAATGATCATTTGTAAATTGACAGATTTAGAATGAGAAAAGGATACGTAAAGGTTGAATGGGATGGAGTGTGCTTCAGCTAATCTTCAGAAATCTTGAAGTGGTTAATCAGTATGGTTACATGTGGCATTTGTGACATTTGACTTACACATCATACTTTGGAGTCTTTACAGACTGTGAAATTGCAGCCAACTTTGGAGAGAAGTAAAAAAGCACACAAGTACATCAGCAGGACATACTAGTCTAGTCAGAAATATATGAATGCATGTGAAATAGCTACGCATTTAAAAGAGGGCAAGAACTCAGGAGAAATTTGCCTAAGACTTTTGAGTATTAATTATAAAACTCTTAAAAAGAGGGTTGGAATCGCCTCTCACCTTTTTTTCATCTGAAAGACTTGATGTTGAGCTGCACGGTGTACTGTTACATCTGATTGGGCCCTTAGCTCAGTCCTGTCACGGAGAGAAGAATGTCACCTCTAAAGACCTGGACTCTGCTTCTGCAGCATTTCCTGGTATTCTGGAAAAATCTCCTGTTTAAGTACCAAGTGGCTCCAGGCTTCCTTTGAGAACCGGTGGTTTGAGATATAGATGTTTTTTATTGCTCTCTTTTTACTAATGAAGCTCATAAGGTATTTTCATATTCTAGTTATAAAACTGGAATATCTGCAAGTAGTGACCCAGGAAGCTAGGAAAGTATTCCCTGGGAGACAGGAAGGCACACAGGTAGTTGTTCAGTTTTTGATTCTCTTCCTTTTTTTGTCAAGACAGTGGTTCTCTAGTGGATTCCATGGCTTTTATATGGCATGTATCTCATTAAGCACAGTGACGTTGCAGGCTAGCATTTGGGGAGTGCCTTTCTACAAACACATTCATGTCTTTGTACCTTTTAAAATGCATTTTGGCTGGATCCCCCCCCCCCAAGTAGAACAAAATAATGTTTTATCCTCTTAGTCATTCATTCTTAACGTATTGTGTGTGTCTTGTCTGCCATGTGTTTTTAGTGTATAATACTGAAATGTTAATAGATACATGCTATTAAATAATTTTTATGTGGCCTCTATCAAAAGATATTTTAGGACATGAATTTAAGTGGGAACTTACTCTGCTGTCTTTTGTCTTTAAACATGATGAAACAGTCAGCTTTAAAGCAATCTCATTAGTCTGTGTGAGTAATTGTGGTTTAATGAACTTGCAGGGCTGGGCAGCGGCTCATGCGAAAGCTTCTACAGCTTTGTACTTGGTCCCCTTGAATGTCTCTTCTGCTCTCTTTCCAATGCATGCTTTCCTTTCTTGTAAACAAAAATGTGGAGTTCATGGCTCGATTAAAGAGCATTGTACAAACCTCAATTGGCTTCAGTTAAAACCTTAATTTTAATTGGGAGAAAATCTTAAATTCATTCAATCTGATCCTTGCAAACTCAATGTGGTCTCGTGTGTTTACGCCTAATGACTAACCTGTCTCTCAGCCATTAACGGGGTAATTCTAATGTCCGTCTCCTTCTCCTTTTTCTTCCTGCATCCCGTTGTTGTCTGTGGTGGTTTGTGTGGTTGGACTCCCCCCTGGTCAGTATTTTTATTTCCAGGAGGTGTTTCCTGTGTTGGCTGCAAAGCACTGTATCATGCAGGCCAATGCTGAGTACCACCAGTCTCTCCTGGCAAAGCAGCAGAAGAAATTTGGAGAAGAGATTGCAAGATTACAGGTGAGTGTCATTGAGGTAATTTTTTTTTTTAAATTTGTTACTGGTTTATTTACCAAGGGAAACTATTCCTTAAGTCACACAGTCATGCTGCACAGTTCAGGAACACAATACAAAGAAATTCTGTACATTCCAAAGTTATTTTGCACTCTGAAAGATACCAGCTTTCCTCATTTTCTCAAAATCCTTCTTAGAATCATAGTTTCTATAGAAATCTGCATATGCCTTCTTTCTTGGTTCAGCCATGGCAAACTTATAGAAAGTTGCAACGCTCAGGGACAGAATGACAGCTCCCATAAAACGCATGTGCAGCTGGTTGGCCAGCAGGCCTTGCATCTGAGGTTTTCCCAAAGCAGGGGAAAACATGGCGGTGGTTCTCCCGACACACCAACGTCCTTCCCTACTCATGGAGAAAGGGGCCTGAGGTAAATAAGTAATTGAGTCTCCATTTTTTTTCCCAAGTGAGATTCTTTGTTTGCTCATAACAGTTTTTTTCTCTGCCTCTGATCTCTATTAATAGAGGTCTTTACATTTTTAGGCTTACCTACTACAGGTTTTCAGAAGTTTCATATTTTATGTACAGAGTCTGTGTAAAATTTGCATTCAGCTCATTATTTGATTCATATCTGCTTTAAACTGAAAGTACCCTCAGTTACCATGTTTCAGAAACATATTCAGCCTAGACAGGCGACATATATGACATGACTTGTGGAGAACAGTTGTAACATGAAAACAAATCTTGTCAGCAGTATTTTCTGTGCCCTTGTATCCATACTGTCACTTGAAGCCGGTCAGAAACTTCTTGTGACACTGGGCAACTGCAGTAAAATCTGTTTATACCAGAGTTTGTTTTTTGAGTATTACTAGGAGTTAGGCACATCCAAGTGTACATTTTTTTACTTGAGCAGTTATAAAAATAAATCACTGGAAAGGAAGTTGCCATGTTAAGTATAAATATATCTGTAGTTCATAAAACATTACCAGATTTCCTCAGGGATTGTGCTTGTGTGAGAGTATTATTTGATAACAGCATGTTATCAAACTTGCATTCTTTTCTTGGGCAATCTAATCAATACAAAATACCATAGAGCATCTTTACTTTTTCTGAAAAAATGTGACGAGAGCATCCACAGCCTGACAGCACGTCAGCAGTCTCTGTATGTACTGTTGATTGTGTCCTTCAGGGTTTTCTACTATTCTTGCTATCCTTTTCTAAATGAGTCTGCCGCTGTTACTTTAAACTGACTGCCTCTAGACTTCTGTCCCCCCTGCTCATTTGCTGTTGTCCATTTGATCTCACGTAGGTAATTCTTGGACACAAAACCCATGATATGTATACTTTACTAATGAAGAAAAACCTTTCTTGCTGTTTGGTCTCAAAGACTTCAGGGGATCGTTTGGTTTAGAGTTAGAATTACCATGTCTTGCTTAATGTGCATCATTAATAGATAAAGGTTAACAAATAGAACCAAGATGCCATGACCTCCACTAGTAAAATTAATACAGCTGAACACTACCTAATTTGTGCTCCTAGCTTGAGCTGCCAGCCTCAAGGTACGTGATTCAAATCTCCCAGCTGCTCGCAGGGAGGGGGATGGGCAGTCTCCTCCCGTGCCCTTCCAGCCTCTGAAAACCCAGTGGAGAGGCAGCTGTGAGTCAGCTCTGACTTCTTGGCACACGACAACAACAGCAGCAGTTTGTTGTTCGGTGCTGTTCCATCAGCTCTGCAGGTGAAACCAGGCCTGATCCTGTGCCCTCCTCACAAGCTTTGCTGCGCTTACACCCGTTGCTGCCGCCACTCTGTCCATCTGTTTCATTGAAGGTTTTTCTCTTTTTCACTTCTTGGTATTGGTACTTTACTAAGCAAGCCTGATGTCTTTCTCCAGGGATTGGCCTCTCTTGATTACATGCCCGGAGTCTAATGTGCCCAAAGTTTGTAAACACAATCTTATCATTCATTTTCTCTTCTAAGAAAAAATCTGGCTGTACTTCTTGCAAGACAGATTTGTTTGTTCTGTGGCAGTCTGTGCTCTGTTGACCAGTCTTTGCTAAATGTCACCCAGGTGTGAATTCTCCTTTGGTCTTCCATAGTCATTGTCCAGCTGTCACTAGTCTTGTTTCGTGCTGATTTCTAAAGTGTCTTTACAGTTGGTTTGTTCACAGTCAAGATCCATACAAGCTTCTCACTTTGCAGCTGATGAATGTCTCTTACATGTTTCACTCTACCTAACTGGTGAAGTGGTCCTGTTGAATTGACTCTTCTCTTACTGTGATTAGTGTGTGAGGTCTCTTTGCCCTTTTGTTCCTTGTATGGATGTTGCAGTCTTCCTTTCTTGAGTGACTGTGTATTCTTCTGCAGCTTCCTTCCATGTCCTGTCTGGTGTTTCACAGTTTCTCGCTCATGGACTGTCTCACACTGCTGTCTGGCCCTCCTGGCCCTCTTAACATCCTTTGTGTTCTTCTGGTGCTCTGACTGTGTCCTTCAGTTTTTTGTGTTGATTCTGGGATGTTCACATTGTATCAACTGCTCTGTAATGACTGTCTTGGGTGAGTATTCATTCTCTTTTGGGAAACTGTGGTGCTCATTTTTATCCTTTTCTATCTATCATGATGTTGCTTCTTGGTCCAGTTGTGAGGATTTTTGTCTTCTTGATATTGAGATGCAGCCCGTATTGAAGGCTGTATGTAGGCTTTGAACTTCTGCAGCAAGTGTTTCAAGTTTTCTTCACTTTGAGCAAACAAGACTGTGTCATTTGCGCAGTAGTTTGTTGCTGAATCTACAATCCTGGTGCCACATTCTTCTTCACAGAGTCCAGCTTCTCGAGTGATTTGCTCAGTGTACAGATTGAGTAGGTATAGAAAAGAATACAATCTTGATGCACACCTTTCCTGATTTTAAATCATGCAGTGTTCCCTTGCTCTGTTTAGACAACAGTTTGTTGAATTAGGTATAGGTTTTGCGTGAGTACAATTGAGTGTTCTGGGATCCCTTTTCTTGTAAATGTTAGCCATAGTCTGTTATGATTTACATAGTCAAATGCCTTTGCATAGCCTATAAGATACAAATAGACATTTTGGTATTCTCTGCTTTTAGCCAGAATCCGTTTGACATTAGTGATATCCCTAGTGCCACAACCTCTTTTAAGCCCAGCTTGTACTTGTGGGCAGTTCTTCGTCAATGTACTGTTCTAGCTGGTTTTGAGTGATTTTCTGCAGTATTTTGCTTGCATTTCATATTAATGATGTTGTTCGGTAATTTTCACATTCTATTGGCCATATAGCTATTTTCCAAATTTCTTGGCATAGACTAGTGAGCATGTCCAGGGCTTCATCTGTTAGTTGAAACATGTCTGTTGGTATTCCATCAATTCCTGAGACTTTATTTCAGTCAGTGCCTTCAGTTCAGCTTCAACTTCTTCCTTTATTACCATTTGCTCTTGTTCATTCACACAGTACTGACCCAGGCATTTTATTTATACTTTGTGGACAGTTTACTCACACACTGAAAAGGATACCTCTCTACACGCCTCTTGCCCTTGAGCCGGTGTCTATTCATAGTAACCCGGCGGCACAGAACGGTGCTGCTCCATTGAGTGGCTAAGGCTTTAATCTTCCTGGAAGCCAACTGCTGCGTCTTACAGAGTGGTTGAGGGTTCAGATGTCTGACTTTGGGTTAGCAGCCCAGTGCTTAACTGCTGCACCACCAGGGCTCCTTGCCTCCTGTAGAATACTGTTCATCGTTTATAGGGACAAGGGGAGACTTTCCAAGTTATTCTGTCAACCACATTGCCAGAAATACAAGCTTTCAAAGTTTAAATCAGTGCTGAGATCCTTGCTTGATAAAGAGGAAAAGATTTCCCCCCCTCTTTTTGACATTTTTTTTCTTCTTAGCATGCAGCAGAATTGATTAAAACAGTGGCGTCTCGGTACGATGAATATGTCAATGTGAAGGATTTTTCTGACAAAATCAGCCGTGCCCTTACAGCAGCGAAGAAGGATAATGACTTCATTTACCATGATCGCGTTCCAGACCTTAAAGATCTAGACCCCATTGGCAAAGCCACACTTGTGAAATCCACGCCTGTCAATGTGCCCATCAGCCAGAAGTTCACTGGTATGTCATGTCTTGAGGCATGACGCTTCTCGTCCTTCCTGCAGCACTGAATACATGAGAAGAAAAGGAAGTGCTGTGGTGTCTGTAGTCTAGTGTCAAGACGGGAATACAGCGTAATGAGACCCATGTAAAGGATGCAACAGAATAGACAGCTTAAAACTGTATATTCAGTAATGTTAAATACTTTTAAGCATTTCTAGTTTTGTTAATTAAGACATTATTTGTGTATTCTCTTTAGAAAGAAACATATCAGTTTGGCTTTAAATAGATAAACTTTAGGAGATATACTTGTAGAAGATAGATACATGTTGTTTTGCTCTTGTATATTGTAGAGATGTGCAGTCTGCAAGATAACCTCTAACTGAAACCCCTAGGGAAATAGGCTGAGTTAATGAGAAGGGCAAGTTAGTTATTTTGTTTAGGGAACACAGTGTGTATCATATGCTGTGGGTTCTCGGAAGCACTGTACGCATGTCAACTCATTTATTTCCTTATCAGCCCCATGATGTGTAAGTGCTACTCTCGTTCCCATGTGACTGATGCAAGCACTGGTGCACACAGTCCCTGGGTCATTTTCCCCAAGCTCACACAGCTGGGAGGGAAGTGGTAGGGCTGTAACTCAAACCCTGACAGTGTGACCTAGTCATAAATCAATTTAATCAGAAAAGTACTGACTTTCATGTAAGTCTTCTCTTCCTGATCCAAATCTTTCAAACCCAAAGCTAGAAGCTCTTATATTTAAGAGCTAATCATTGCTTTTGTCCTTGAATATAGAGCTCTAAAAAGTCTCTTCATCATTTTACTTTTAATAATATAATAGTGTTTTTGTTTGTTTGGATTTTTTTAGCTATTTAAGAAAATATTGTAAAATAAATATAGAAACTTACAAGTTCAGTGATTATAGTTCTGATTTTTAAATAATTACAGACCCTTTTTATGGCTATTATAAGGAAAATATGAGCAAGTACTTTATAACTTGGGTTTTTTTGTCTTGATACTTTAACATTTCCATTTCTTTCTTTAGATCTGTTTGAGAAGATGGTTCCTGTGTCTGTACAGCAGTCCTTGGCTGCTTATAATCAGAGGAAAGCAGATTTGGTTAACAGATCAATTGCTCAAATGAGAGAAGCCACCACTCTGGCTAATGGGTAGGTAGAGTTTAACTTTTATATCTGTTTGGAGCGTTGGAGTTTCCTCTTTGACAGTTCTTTTAAGTAGTTTGAAATTTTAATTTATTAAACTTGGAGCTAAGTGCCAAGATGATATGAAATAGCAAACGTACACACGGATGCATGCATGCACACACATAAATGCATACACATTTCTTAGGAATACTCTATTTACTGAATCTTAGCAAAGAGATCATAATTGGAAGAAATTTGATTAATGAAACAAGGGATAATTATTTTGACCAGTAATTTTCATGAGCAGGAAATGAGAAGTAGAAAGGAACTCTGGAAATTTAAGATCAGTGCTGCGTTCAGTATTCGGAACCAGTTTTTAGTTCTGGGGAATTGAAACCAGAAGATGTTGACCTTTTTAAGTGCATATTAACTATTCAGTTTTAATAAATTTTATTTATTTTTTTTAAATTTTTTTGTGTGTACCATCAAATCGGATCTGACTGGTACAGGAGGAGATTGTCCCTCCTTCTCCAGCAGAGCATCTGGTGGATTTGAACCACTCACCTCTGGGATTGCAGTGCAGCTTCTTGGCACTAGGCCACCAGAGCTAGCCTATTCAGATATTCTTTATGAAGTAAGTGCCTATTGTAATGTTATGCTTTCCCTCTTTTTACTCCCCATTTTAATTTTTTGTGTGTGTGAATTCCTTCTTACTGAGTCATAAAGATTTCTTTACGTGCTTTCCATCAAGCCCTTTGCTGTGTGTATGCATTTGAGGATATTCTCCCTCTCTAACAGTCAAGACTCTTACAGGTTTCTGTTGAAAAGCAGAAATTTTAAATTTTAATAAATACATAGATTTTGGCAGTAATAGTTTTTTATTTAGCGTAAAAGCATTGTAAGTTAAACATGTTTAAAAGATGGTCAGAGTTTACACAGATCATTTTTAGAAAAATTATTGCATTGCATTATTTCATGTACCTGTTTTGGTCTTCTTTCATAGTCCCAAACTGAACTTAACCCGTTGTCATTGAGATGATTAGGATTCATAAGAAGAATAAGTGCTGATGAGAGTGGACTCACATATCTCTGTTCTGGGGAGAGAGTGCCAGCTCGAATACCACGGTTTTGGTCAGTAGTGGAGAATTTGAACCACTGCTACCAGGCTCAGCTTGAGAAATGCAGAACAAGTTCTTCCCTTTTATTCTCCAACTCCAGCTCTCTTCACTTTGCTTTGTCCTCCCGAGCTGCCCTTTGAAAGCTTCTGTTCAGCTTTCTTACTTAGGAATGTTTTCCTTTTGTTTTGGCTTCTCTGTGCTCCAGTGAAATGTTTATAGTCTCTTCTGACATCCATTTCGATTTTTTTTCTTTCTCCTCTGTTTTTGCAATGACCTTTTGCTTTCTTGATGATTTCCTTGATGTCATCCCACAACTCATCTGGTCTTCAGTCATTGGTATTCAGTGCCTCAAACCTGTTCCTAAGATGACCTTGAAACTCAGATGGAATTGATCCAGGATCATAATCTTGGTTTCAGTGGACTTAGCTTAATTTTCTTTGGCCTCAATTTGAACTTGCATATGAGAAATTGATGGTCTGACCCACAGTCCACCTCTGGCCTGGTTTTGACTGCTGATACTGAGCTTATTCAAGGATTTCTTCCACAAATGTAATTGGTCTTATTCCTGTGCAGCCTATCAGGTGAGATCCGTGTGCAGAGTTGTTGTTCGTGCCTTTTAGTAAAAGTATTTGCAATGAATAAATCATTGTAAATACAAAATTTAATCATTCAGTTTCCAGCCTCAGTCTCCCACTTCTGCATTCTAGTTACCAATTATCATTAACATATATTGATTGCATGTTTGATCATTTCGGACTGCAAGATTTGGTAAAAATTCTTATTTTCTTCCTCTTTGGCTCCAGATGCGGGAGCATATATTTGAATAACAGCCGGAGTGCTCTTTGGAGGCAAGAATGAAGAAGCTTCGCTTCACATACTTTGAGATTGTTGCTAGGAGGGGACTTGGTGCTAGGAATGGTGGAGGATCAGTGAAGGAAAGGAAGACCCTCGACCAGATGGACTGACACAGTGACTGCTGCAATGGGCTCTTGTGTGTCAGGAAGTGTGAGGAAGGCTCAGGATAGGGCAGGGTTAAGATATTTTGTTCATAGGTTTGCTATGGGTCGTACTCGACTTGATGGCACCTAACAACAACTACCAGTCTTCCTTTATTTCCTAGTACATGGTAGATAGGGATACATTATTTCCATCACATAAGTGAGGTAACTGAGGATTTAAGAACAGATGAAAATTGTCTAGTTGAATGCTTATTGTTGAGGTTGTGTGCTGTTGAGTTGGAACTGATTCTTTCCCCTACAGCAGGTTTCCGAGGCTGCAGATTACACAGGAGGAGATTGCCGGTCTTTCTGCTTTGGAGCAGCTGGTGGATTTGAACCTTTGGGTTTGCAGTGCAACTCTTTACCCATTACCAGAGTGCCCTAATTTAATACCTTGTTCATCTGTATTGACATTTTGCCTAGATGATATTAAGTTAGACTTCTGTATGCTGTGTAATGGATGTATAAGAAAGATAAGTTCACACTAATAGGGACAGATAAGCCACTTGATCTTAGCCAAAAGGCCAAGAACCAATGAAAAGAGTAACTTAAAAGATGGATTTTTTACTAAGATAAAAGTGCTGACCTACAATTTTGATTGTGGTTGGTGATAATTTCTTACAGCTTGAAGCATGGTAACTGTGAGCTCTGAGTAAAAAGATACCGAGTATATTTTGGTTATTAGGAGCTCTGGTGAAGCCAGCAGTAGTAAGAAGTTCACTGCCATCCCAAGATTCGGCAGTTCAAACACTAGCTGCTCTGCAGGAGAACGATGGGCAGTCTCGTCCTGTACAATTTACTGCCTCTGAGAACCTGCTATGGATTGGGTCTAGCCCATATTTTGGTTAGCAGTTGACTATGCCCTGGATTATGAAATGTCAATTTAAGTAATTATTGAAGATTTTTAATTTTATACGAATCGTACAGTCTTGTTTTATTTGTTCATTGATAGGGCTTATTCCCTTTTTGTTTTCTAGTTCCATTGCTATTTCATTTGGATGTGGGAGACTTCTGGTTTAAGAGATGGTTTACATGTCTTGATGAAATACCTCATTTTTCCCCCTCCCAGGGTGTTAGCCTCCCTTAATCTCCCAGCAGCGATTGAAGATGTATCTGGAGACACTGTCCCTCAGTCGATATTGACTAAGTCCACATCTGTGATTGAACAGGGAGGCATTCAGACTGTTGATAAGTTGATCAGAGAACTTCCAGAACTACTACAGAGAAATCGAGAAATCCTAGACGAGGTAAGACGAACGTGATCTAGTGTAACTGCGTCAACTCTCTCTAGATTGCTTTTATGAATCTTGGTTTTACATCTTTGATTTTAAAAATAATATTATCTTAAAGCAAAACAGAGACTCTTAAACGGTGTAGAGTTGGACAGTGGCTTTTATCCAGTCTGCCAATTCTGCCTTTTAACTGGAGAGTTTCATGTATTTTGATTTAATCAGATTACTTATACGAAAGAGTTTCTTCTATTTTGACATCTATTTTTTATATCTCATATCTTTTTGTCTTCAAATCTCCTATTCTGTTGTCTCTATTAGATGGGTATTTTTAGCACACTATTTTGATCCTTTTAGGGTTTTTTTTTTACTATCTAACTTGCGGTTATTTTTTAGTGGTTCCCTTGGAAATTTCTAGTAATACCATAATTTTTGAAATCTACTTTGAATCTGTATCGAATTAGTTTGAATAGTTTATGAAAATTTTGCTGCTACACAAATCTTTTCCATCCATTTCTGCTGGTATTATTGCAGTCTTTAAATGCTATGGCCGTCAACATAGACTTACAGTTACAGCTTTATCTACTCTCTTAATTCATATGTTGTTATGTGCCATCAAGTCACCTGCGACTCATAGCGAGCGACCGTATGTACAACAGCCCTAAACCTGCTCTGTTCTGTGCCAATTGCACTGTCTCTGACACACTCATCCCAATTACCCGTCAATGAATCAATCTACCTCCTAGAGGGCCTTCCTCTCCTGCGCAGTCTGTCCCTCCACCCTCCTAAGCATGATGTCCCTCTCCAAGGACCGGTCCCTCCTTACAACATGTCCAAAGTATGTTAGATGGAGCCTCAGAATCCTTGCCTCCAAGGAGCCGCCCGGTTTAACCCTTTCCAGGATGAATTTGTTCATTTCCCTAGCAGTCCATGGTGCTCTCAGTACTCTTTTCCAGCACCACTGCTCAAAGGCATCAAATTCTCTTTCTGTCCTCCTTAGTCATTGTCTGACTCTCTGAGGCATAACAAGTGATAGCAAAGAAATTCATATAGGGATAAAAAATTTCTGGAAGCTAAAAAGAAACACAATAATACTGACTTTCATATTTATTGCTGTAACTACCTTACATCAGTTATTTCTTTATATATAGATTTGTTTGGATTTGTAGATTTGAGTTGCAGTGTAGTGACTTTTCATTTCTGCCTACGATTTCTTGTAGGGCTGGTCTACTAGCGGTGAGCAAAATTTTTCCAAGTTGGCAATGTCTTATTGGCTTCGTTTTTCATTGAGAGTCTTACCAAACATACAATTAATTTTTATTTCTATACTTGGAATATGTTCCCTTGCTCGCCATCTTCTGGAGCCTGTTTTTTCTCATTGAATTTCCTCGTTTGTGACAAGGTGCTGCTCATTGGCTGTTGGTAGGATTCTCTTTTCATCTTTGGCTTCTTAACTAAGCTTTGTTGTGTCTGCTGATTGGTGACTCTGAGTTTCTTGTACTTGACATTGTACTTGACCTTGGATGATTGATGGCTTTCATGCCATTTAGGAAGTTTTCAGACATTATTTCTTCAAGTGTTAATTTTGCTCTTTTTGCTCATTGTGGGCCTTGTGTTTTGAATATGTTAATATGTTTGATGTCCCACAAGTCTCGTTTTCTCAGGCATTACTTAATTTTATTTTGATTCTCAGACTGAATTAAAAAAAAAACAACTCAGTTGACTTTTCTCCAAGTTTATGGATTTTCCCCCCGTTGCTCAAGTCTACTATTGAACCCTCAATATTGTATTTTATATTTTGTTATACTTTACAAATGCAGAATTTCTCTTTGGCTCTTTTTAATAATTTTTCTCTCAGCATTGGTGAGACATCGTATTTATGGTTTCTTTAGTTCTTTGCTGAGGACCTCTAGTGGCATGCTGTGTATATGGTGCTGAGCTGCTAATAAAAAGATTGACAATTCAAATCAACCAGCTTCTGTGCAGGACAAAGTTGGGTGTCTGCTCTTGTAAAAATTAACACAGTGGAGGGTTACTATGAGTCACAGTTGACAGTGTCACTTGACAGTGTGTGGTGGGATTGAGTTCTTTGTTCTTGGTCTCTTTGAGCGTATTTAAAACACTGGGTTGTATTATTATTATTATTATTATTAAATATCTATTTAGGTGTCAACAGTATGGATTTTTCTCCTGGAAAGTTTCTGTTAATTTCTTTTTTTCCTTTTTATGGTCCGTACATCCTAATTTCTTTATAAATCCTAAAACGTTCTGTTGAAAACTGAACATTTTGAATATTGTAATGTGACACGCAGAAGAGATTATCTGGGAGACTGGACTCTGTGAGGAGAAATTTGGCATCAGAATTGGAGATGGCGTTATCAAAAATCTGCATTATGCAGATGACACAACCCTGTTTGCTGAAACTGAGGAGGACCTGAAGCACTTCCTGCAGAAGGTTAAGGACTGCAGCCTTCAATATGGATTGAAGCTCAACATCAAGAAAACAAAGATCCTCACCACTGGGCCGACTGGCAGCATCCTGATGGATGGTGAAGAGATTGAGATTGTAAATAGCTTTAGTTTGCTTGACTCCATAGTCAATACTCTTGGTAACAGCAGTTAGGAAATAAAAAGGCAAATTACGTTGGGAAAGTGCTGTTAAGAGACCTTTCCACATAACCATGATGTCATTCTGGAGACTAAGGAGTGCCTGATCCGAGCTATAGTCTTTGCAATCACTTGCTATGCACCAGAAAGCTGGACAATAGAAGGAGAATGAATGCCTTTGAGCTTTGATGCTGGTGAAGAGTATTGAATATACAATGGACTGCTAGGAGAACAAACAGGTTCATTCTAGAGAGGGTGAAGCCAGGTTGCTCCTTGGAGGCAAGGATTCTGAAGGTCTGTCTGACATACTTTGGACATGTCACAAGGAGGGACCAGTCCTTGGAGAGGGATGTCATGCTTGGGAGGTTGGAGGGATAGTGTAGGAGAGGAAGACCCTCGATGAGATGGATTGATTCAGTGACTGGGGTAATGGGGGTAGGTGTGTCAGAGACAGTGAGGTTGGCATAGGATAGAGAAGGGTTTAGGGCTGTTGTACATAGGGGGTCCCTATGAGTCGCAGGTGACTCGACGGCACATAACACCACCACCACATCTGCCTCTTCTGTTTGTTTGTTTGTTTCTTTCTTTCTTTCTGTCTGTCTGTCTGTCTAATTTTGTGTGTGTACCATCAAATCAGATCTGATTGGTATAGGAGGAGATTGCCCCTCCTTCTCTAGTAAAGCGTCTGGTGGATTTGAACTGCCTACCTCTGGGATTGCAGTGCAGCTTCTTGCCACTAAGCCTCCAGCGCTCCCTACATCTTCCTCTTCTGATCTGTCTTCTGATTCTTTTTCTTCATCTACAGCTTTTCCTCTTATTCCTGTTGATTTGGGACTGACTCAGAGCTGACCCTCCACAGAGTTTTCAGGAAAATCTTGTAAAATCTTTGATTTTAGTGCTTGTTACACATCTGGAAGCAAATGTCTTTTATGAAATATTATTTTAATGAGTAAGGCAAATGGCTAATGTAGCCTTGAATTTTGTGAGACTTTTGTAAAATATGCCATAATAGAGATTTCTCCAACTAAAAATGTTACACCATTTCTGTTCTAACCAGTTACTGTAGAGTTGTCTCATCTTACTAAGTCCTGACCTTAACTGAATATAATTGCTTAAAAATGTTTTGTGTATTTTATACCAGGACAGATCTCATTGTTGCTTTGCCTTTTTTTTTTTTAAAGTCATTAAGATTGTTGGATGAAGAAGAAGCAAGCGACAATGATTTAAGATCAAAATTTAAGGAACGTTGGCAGAGGACCGCATCCAATGAGCTCTATAAGCCTTTAAGAGCAGGTAAAACTGTTCATGACATGACTTCACTTGAGTAAATTTGGGCCTACCTCCCCCCCTTAATTACATTAAACCCATTTTGCTAAAAGTACTGTTTTATAAATGTACTTTGCCTTTTTATGATTAAAAAAACCCAACAACAAGAAGTAGACCGCAGTCATCACAAGACTTTCAAATTCTTATGAAGGATCTAATGTGGGAAGTAAAATAACGCTGTAGTTCCTCATTTTCTCTTATAAACCTTGTGTGGTTTTAAAACAGCATTGAGATAATTTTTAAGATTTTGTGCTTTTTCTGAGACTGGATGTCTTATGACTTAGAGACGTGTAACGTCTTCCCTGAAAGGAATGATTGGCATTGAGATCTTCCTAAAGGATCTGTCTGCTGGGCCTTCAAGCCAAGCAGAAACAGTGATCCTTTGAGAGAAGAAAGAATACTTATAAAATAAATTAAAAATTAACCACCAGCTGTATGACCATGCTTTTGATTGTAGATGCAATTTTGTTGTTTTTCTAAAAACAAAACAAAAATGTAGAGTGACAGGAATAATGTTTTAATTTAAATAGTGAGTTGGAACACATAGACTAAGAATATTAATAAATTAGGGGCCAGAACCAAATGTACAGCTAGCCCACTGATACGGTTTTTGGATTCGAGATGTGATCAGATGTGATCTATTTCTTTCACCAGAGGGTGCCAACTTCAGGACAGTTTTGGACAAAGCCGTACAAGCGGATGGGCAGGTGAAAGAACGCTATCAGTCTCACCGCGACACCATCGCCCTTCTCTGTAAGCCGGAGCCTGAACTGAATGCCTCCATCCCTTCTGCTAACCCAGCAAAGACTATGCAGGGCAGTGAGGTGAGGATGCCCACGTGGACGCGGGTCGCTGTTGGGTTATAAGAGCTTTATGGGAGTCATTACATGCAGTGAACTACCAGTTTCTCTCATATTGGTATATTTTATAAAATACAGAACTAGATTGGAGTTCTTGTCTTTAAATCATTATCTATGCTGGTCTATAGATAGTTATAATAAACTATCTTTGAATAGTAAATATTTTATTCAGATTTTTAAAGATGCGGATAGTTAGGAGTGCAGAAAACATCCTGAAGTGACAGGACTTGCTTTTGATACTCGTCTGACCGCAAGTGCTTTTCCCTCGTGTTGTACAATAACATACTGCGTGGGTGGCCTAGCGGGTATGGAGTTCCACTGCGTACCCGAGGCAGCAGATTCTGTCGACTGCTCCACATGAGAAAGATCGGAGTCTCCTGCCATGTGTTTTACAGTCTCTGAAAACCCCTCACTGAGAGTCAACTGCGAGTCAGTTCTGACTCGACAGCAATTAGTTGAGTTTTTTTATTCTGTGTTCTAGCATATTCTCTGGATGATTTATTTGTATATTCATGAGCTATAGAAAAAGATTAAACCAATAGGTAGCTTTTATTTGGCGACATTAGTTACCAAATGTATAACTGAGCATTTGACAGAAAAATTAACCATATGTGCATATTAGTAAGTGGAAAACTTTGTCATGATATTTTTAATTGAAATGGTGAAAATCAATAGCAGGCCGAAAAATCTAGAAAGTCCTAAAGTAGGTCGAGGTAGGGCAATGTGGGGTAAGGTAGAGCCTTTTCCCTGATACACGGAAAAAGAAGCCAATGGGACAGAAAGACAACTTTTATTTTTTTTTTTTTTAAATTTTTTTATTGCTATTTGAATGAAAGTTTGCAGAGCAAATTGGTTTTCCGTCACACACATTGTTTTGTGACAGGATTACAGTCCCACAGTGTCACAGCGCTCACTGCCTCTCCCTGGTCAGCCTCATTTCCAGCTCTGTCTAGCTCATCCCTCCTGCTCTGAACGTCATCGCTGGGCAGCTGCGGCTGATTGGTAAAGAGGGCTCACCTGCCTCCCAGGTTATCTTTCACCTTCTGTTGGCTCAAAGTCGCGGCCCGGGATAAGTGCAGTTCTCGGCTCTAAGAGTGACTGAAGGTTGTGGCCCACCTGTCTGCAGATAGGGATTCCACCAGTCCCGTCAGACCTGGCTACCTGTATGAAGCTGAGTTTTGTTCCACACTTTCTTATCATTTGGGACCTCCTCTGTGCTCTCTTTCTGGGCAGTCAGCAGTGATCCAGGCACCATCTAGTTCTTCTGGTCTCAGGGTTTGAAAATTAATGGAAGAAGGTGCATTTCCCAGCAAAGTAGCTTTCATTGGCTATCAGGGTTGGTTTCAGCGTTTCCACCGGAGTGTTGTATTTGCCCAGTCAGGATGGACTGGCTGGCTGATCCGTGTAAGGCCGTGTGCTAGGTGCTTTGAAAAATGAGTGAATAGTCTAGCTCCAGTTTATAGGTTTTTGTGGATGATTAGACATGTATGATAGTAACTGGAATCGGGTTAGAAATGAAAAAGAAGAGAATCTGGAAAGGATGCTGAGGAGTTTGAACTGGTGAAACAATTCTTGTATTTAGAGCTTCTCTGTAAAGAGGCATCGTACAAAATGCGCACATTATGAGCAGACGGAGTAGAGGGGCAGAAATGTTGGACATGTATAAGATCCAAGAGCAACTGAGTAAATGCATGTGTTCAGAGAAGCCCCTGGAGATGGTAATACAGTGCATGGAGCCCCTGATGCTGCTGGGCAGCTCTCAAAGAGGAGAGACTGGACAGGTGGTCAGTACACACAGCATCTGAGTCTAAAGAGGACAATGTCGTTCAGTGGGAAAAGGATAAGGGTGGGATACAATGGGATGAAGAAAGAAAAGAAACAAAAATAAGTTTGTGAAGAGTTAGGGACCTTTGAAGACCTAAAGAACAACAAAAATTCCTTGTTGTCATTTATTTATTTATCTATCTATCTTTTAATATGTTTGGTATTCTTTTTCTTTTTGTTGTATAGTATGTAACTCGGATCCTGGATGGCTTTTGTACTTTGATTCTCTTGCTTTCATTGGGAAAGTAGAAATTATTTTCCTCAAGTTGGAGTGTCCTGACACATTTTTTTTTGCATTGTTCTTCTGTAATTCATTCATTAAGCACTTTTATCAACTCATGCCAGCAATGTTTGTCACAGCGATTTCAGAGAGTTGTTCAATCCATGTTTTTTCTTTTCTTTTTTAAACTTTGTCCACTGATATTATCATCCTGAGGTTCCCACAGGATATTTGATTGTAAATAAGCAGCTTATGGACTTTGCCTCCTCTGTGTACATGGATCTATTTATAGTATAAACAGATATACATGTCAAATTATCATTTAGTGAACCTGTGTCCTGGGTGTAATTCCTTTGATCTACCCATGTTTTCTGTTTTCCTGTGTAGATTAATGCTTGCTAGTACTGTTAATATACGAAGCTACTTATGGCTAAAAATTTTAAAATCTAGTATTTGAAACGTTGATTATTAAAGTGATAACAGAGTATTTCTTAAAAGGTCCAACGCTTGGTGGCAGGGATCTCCTCCCCCTTTTATTGGCTACTATTTAGTTATTTAGCTTAATTCTGTTAGGGCATCCGTCTGTAGATACTGAAATTCTCAGTGAAAATTTTGTTGACTATTAGTAATAATGTATTTAAAGATCCTTATAGTAAGTACTTAGGGCCCGTTTGGAGTCTGCAGTTTATTAGCTCAGCTGGCTGGTTGTGGCCTTGGGTAGGAAGGGCCTGCAGGCAGGGGCCCCGTCTCCTTTGTACAGTGGCGAGATCCACTTGTACACACTGCGTTGCATATGCTTTGAAGAGAAGCAGGGGGTGGAATTGTGTTGTTAAATTGGAAGTGACTCATAGCTGATCTTCCAGGAGGTTTTCAAAGACTGTAAATTGCAGAGAAATAGCCCATTTTTCTCCAGTGGAGGAGGTTCCTTAAAAAACCCAAAACCCAAAAAGATTCCCAAAAACGGAAAACCAGATCTTCAGCTCTTTTGAGGCAGTCACATGAAACGCAAAGTGGCACTGTGAGTGATCTTTTTCTATATCAGATTTCACTTTTGCCTAATGTTCTTGCTGTTGTAATGTGTCGTCAAGTCAGAGCTGATTGTCCAGTGGATTGTAAATTGTGTGGGAGGAGATGGTCATCTTTTTCCTTCAGAGCAGCTGGTAGGTTTGAACCACCTGTCTTAGTGTTGGCAGCGCAGCTTCTTACCAATAGGCCACTAGAGCTCTCTGTTTGATTTTTCTGTATCACATTTCACCCTTTCCTGTGTGTAGTTGCTTAATCATGGACACCTTACTTAATGTTTCTGAGACTCAGTTTTTCTATCTGTACAGTAGAGGTAATTATGGGGTGTTAGTGGTTGGCACATAATAAATGCTCACTAAATAGTAGCTTTTGTTATTGTTATTGCTATTATTATAATTTGAGTTGGTATAGAAATAAAAAGGATACGTAGTTTCTGTGTAGCTGCCAGATAAACCGTTTCTTGGACCCAGTGTAAATCTTTGTATTTATTCTGTTGTTAAAATGTGCTTTTTAGAAAGAATCTTTTTTCTTTGCAATGAAACTAGGTGTTGTGCTTGTTTAGGTTGTAAATGTCTTAAAATCCTTGCTGACAAATCTTGATGAAGTGAAGAAGGAAAGGGAGAGCCTGGAGAATGACCTGAAATCGGTGAATTTTGACATGACAAGCAAGTTTTTGACTGCTTTGGCTCAAGATGGTATGATAAATGAAGAAGCTCTTTCTGTTACGGAACTGGATCGGATCTATGGAGGCCTTACAACTAAAGTCCAGGAATCGCTGAAGAAACAAGAGGGACTTCTTAAAAATATTCAGGTGAAATTTTATAAGATGACAGAATCAGCCTAGACTGAACCTGTATGTGTTTAGGAAAAAAGGACATGTGAGGATGTATTACCATGTAAGGGGCATTATGGTATCGCTGTACCTTGTACAATTTAACTTGGTACCTTATTTTTTTAAATGTATGGTAGAAAGCCACATTTCTGAGGCAAAAATGCTGCCTGTTACTTCAGGTTATTTTGGTTTGCTCATGTTTTTGAAAGCTTTACGTGATGATTTTGCTGGATGTGGAGAAATAAAAATTCAGTTTCTTGATACCTTTAATTATGTAGCTTAGGCATAAAGGCTTTAATTCTTTTATTAAAATGATGTAAAATTCAATATGAGGTTATTAGGAGTTAGTATTTGTACTTAAAAACATTTGTACAACAAGGCTAAAATTTTTCCCTTTTAGTTGTTAAAGTGCTAAATTAAAGTTAATGTTTTTATTTCTGAAATTATATGTAATGTGGAAATATTCTAAAAGTGTAAAAAGTTTTATCTTAATTGTGTCTTTGCAGATATTACAGTTTTTCAGTAGAAATCTGTAGTCATCATTGGTTATGCTTGAATATTTGCTGAGTTTGTGATATTTTTACTTATAATGAATGATTTTGAGCAGTGTACTTTCCCCAAAGAAATTCTAATGGGTATTTCTAATAATACGTGCATTTAATGATTTGGTTTTTGTCATTGGACAGAATATCTAAAAATGTAATGTACCACATTAAGTTTTTAAAATGAAAAATCTTTGTTTTATCAAGGTATCACACCAGGAATTTTCAAAAATGAAACAGTCTAACAATGAAGCTAATTTAAGAGAAGAAGTCTTGAAGAATTTAGCTACTGCGTATGACAACTTTGTTGAACTTGTTGCTAATTTGAAGGAAGGCACAAAGGTATGAAGTGCATAAAAGAAATTGCAGATACTTTTTAACAGGAGACTGGATTTGAGGAGGTTAATTGGGGTTTTTACCCTCTAATTGGTTAGCTTTAATCCCTTTTCATTTTGTGATGGAGATTAGAGGAATTTTACTAAAGATGGTGACATTTCCCATGGTCTCTTGACTGTATCAGCAGGCAGAAGGGGAGCCATAGGTATTTTAGGGTAGCAGGATGCTGCTTTGGGGGCTAGGAAAGTGATGACTGTAAGTGAATTAAGAGGGGTGGGAGCAGTCATTTGATTGTGCGGGAGGGCTTGACTTGTGTTTTATCTGCTGGCTGGGATAGATAATAGGCTTTTTGACCTAATTGAGTCTTTGAGGGCTTACTTACTAAATGTGTTCCGGTATATTTTTTAAAAAGTTTTTATTGCTTTGCATATAATCATCCATGTATTGTGTTTTGTTCATGTACTTTGTGTTTTACACAATCATTCATGTACGTTCTATTTTATATAATTATCATTGCTCTGTTCCTATTATTATCACCCCATTCAAGCCCCCGTTAAACCTTTCCCATAGTATATTTTAAGTATTTTATTGACCAGCTCGTTATGGCCATTCAGAGAAATGCTTATATTTATTTTTAAGGCTTTCTTTTTGAGGAAAAAAGGGTTTTTGTGTTTTTCTAATGCATAATTCCTTCTAGTACTTTTAACTCCATATTGATTACTAAGTAATTTTCAGTAAATGTAGTTAGCATACTACTATAAAACATTTTGAAGAGTGAAATACTGCAAAACTTTCCATAGAGAGAATATTAAGATAGCATTTAAGTCTAGATTAAAACAATTTTAGATTAAAATGCTTTGCCTCAGATAGATAAGCTGAGAAACTTTTTAAGAGTTTTTACTAATTCTCCAGTGTCCAAAATGTTTCCTGCATTTCTAAAGTGGATGTGTAATACTAAGTTTTTAGACTTAATGACTGGTTTGAATTTATGTCCCATAAAGAGGATTTCAGTTCTTTAGTTTTAACCACTGATAATAGGTTTTCTTTAGATATATTATCTTTGTTCTTTGCTTGTAGTTTTACAATGAGCTGACGGAAATCCTGGTCAGGTTCCAGAACAAATGCAGCGATATAGTGTTTGCAAGGAAAACGGAGAGAGATGAACTCTTAAAGTAAGTTTGGCATGTTAACTTGTACTAAACCCTGTGGGAAAGCTTTTTAATTTTGGTTAATTTGGTCGCGTGAAACAGCAGTTTCTTTCCATTTTTCCATTGTAGTTTCTCTCTATCTTACAAAGCAACAGGAAGATAATCACACACACAGTCTGGGAAAGAAACACTTAGCAGGAGCAGAAGCTGTCGGTGTGGGGACTATTGAGAGGTCTGAGAAAGAATAATAAAACAGCTCAGGTGCTCTCTCTCAGAAAATGCCAACACTTTACCTCGAGGTGGCAATTGTAGATTTCTTAAATGAAGATGGAGTACATACAGGCCATGGAGAGAGGTTAAGCTCAGAAAGAATCAACAAAACCACTTTTTAAAACCACTTCTGAGAAAAGTGGGGTCAGGAATGTAGGAATCATTACATGCTGAGTAAAATCAATAAGGAGTTGGCAAAGTACTGTTAAGATCTACGGCATTTATAAAAGTGAGAAAAAGAACAATATTTAATAAAATATAATAGGTAAAGGACATTCACCAGTAGTATACTATTGCCACAGCAGATGAAAATTCCGCCCCCCCCCCATATTATAATAATTGAAATTTTATGTACGAAGTATTGATCTTATTTTTTGCCATGTAGAGGTCTCAGGTAGGCCATTCAAGGAGAAGATTACTTAGTCCAACTTTACTTAGTCCAACTTGATAAAGCCAGTGCCCTTGGTGTACTGTTGGAAACACTGGCGGCACATGTTGAGTCTGTATTTCCAGATCAGTCCATGTCGGTTTGAGCACACCCGTCAAGAGCGGGAACCCTGGCTGAGTTTTCACTGGTGACTGCAGTGGAGTTGCTGGTGACCCATCTTGCTTGGAGGGAAAAATCAAGGCAAAAAAGCAGAACAGATTTTTGAGCAAACATTTCACCATGAATTAACAGAGCAGCACAAAATTGCAAAGAAACAGTCACTGACCTAAGAAGACACAGAATATAAGCACTTAGGGGAAGAAATGCTGAGAAGTCAAGAGGCAGTGAAATGTGAGGTCTAAGAGAACTCAGGGTTGAGAAGGAGGAGGAGAGCATCACCATCACAGATGTCGGGTGAAATAGGAAGGGACACAGAGGGAGGAAACACAGCAACATAGAGAAGAGAGAGGGGACCAGAGGGCGGGACGCCGAAGTGAAGACAGAAGGATTAGAGAGAAGACAGGCAAAGATACGCAAAATCAGAGTCCCTCAAAGGAGAAACACCTTTGAAACCATGAACAAACAAACAGATGTTTAGTGTTACTGAAGAACGCTTTTATAAAATAAACAAAGGCTTGTTAGAAGAATATATATGCCGTGTGGTAGAGAAAAAGAACTAAAATTATCAACACTTAGACATATAATCTTTCTATCAGTCTTAGCGATAATGGCAGATCAAATAGCTTTATAGAAAAGTGGAACAAAAGTAGGGTAGCAGCATTGCAGTGTAGAAGAGAGCAGAGTGATAGTTGTAGGGATTTAAGGAAAGCAAATATGGATCAGACATTATATATCTACTTATGCTGTCCTTGAAGTATAAAAGACCTATGTCTACTAGAAATGAGCGTGAACAAATCAGAGGCTATTGCACCCATGAGACCTTGTTGAGCCCTCAGCCAAGACCCACCTTCACTCTTCTGTCTGTGTTTGAATAGGCTCCATAAAGAAGGTCGAGTTACCAAAGAGCTGCTCCTCTCACCTCTGACAAGGAGCAGGTCCACTTTTCATAAAGTCTTTCTGCTCAGTCTTTAAAAAGCAGATAATTAAAATGCTTTCAAAATTTCTATAGCTAAGAACCAAACTCTGACAAAGATGAAAATGCAAACTTCAGACTAGTTTTTTTTTACTTAATAACGATGCAGAATTCCTATATAATTGCCTGCAATATTTAATAATACATTAAAAAAAGAATCAGAACCAAGATTTATTCCAATGCAGTGATTACTTCAGTGTTATTGCATCTAAAGAGAAGAAAAAAAAATCTCTGGAATTTTTTCATAGAAGAGGAGGGGAAAAAATGAAGAATGAACTCTCCCACTAGCTAGGTCACTCTGGAGTGATAAGGAATTGCACTATCAACCCAAAGTTACCTGGTTTGATTCTACTGGATGGTCCACAGGAGAAAGAGGGGCGGTCTCCTCCTGTGCAGTTTATTGCCTCTCTAAACCGGCAGGAGGGTCAGCTGTGGGTTGGTTCCGACTTACTCCCGAAGGGTAGATGTAAATTCTTAACAGTGTTGTTCTTACTGATTACAAATCACGCTGAGCATGACTCTTAGCGACCCTTGAACTAAAGGCCTGAAGCCTTTCTGTGGTTATTGTCATTTAGTAAAGTTCATAGAGTTTCCAGAGTCATATTGTTTAGGAAGTGGATGCCACTATATATATGTATCTGCTTTCCACTTATATTTGCTAATAAAGTTTTATTGGCACAAGCCATGCTTACTTCTGTCTTACCTGTGGCTGTTTTCATGCTATAGTCTTGGAGCTACTTGTTATCTAACTATTTACAGGAACTGTTTTGCTAACTACTGCTTTAGATAATTTTATTGTCCCTGATAAATGAGTTTCTGGTTGGAATGTTCTTCATTTAAATTTTTATTGTAAAAACAGATTAACATAACTCTCATTAAAATTGAATCATACAAGTTCATGACTTAGAAAGAAATTTTGGATTCAGTGTGATGGCCTAGTGGTAAGGAGTTGTGCTGACAAGCCCAAGGCGTGTGGTTCGAATCTGCCAGCTGCTGTTGCAGGAAGATGGACAGTCTTCTCCCGTGCGATTTAAGCCTCTGAAAACCCTCTGGAGGGTCACTGGTGACAGCAACAGTGACAGTTTGAAAATTAGATTTGCTTGTGTAGTTCTTTATTGAAACGATAGAGACTCCTTTCTAAAGCAGGGATCAAACTGAAAACTCAAACTCAGAATCGACTTAAAGCTGACTTGCCAGCAGGTTTTCAGAGACAGGAGATTGCCTGTTTTTCTCCTGTGGAGCGGCTAGTGGATTTGAACTGCCAGACGGTGCTGTTTTATTGGTGGGACTGCCTACAGACTCTGCCACCAGAACACCCTAAAGTAGCTACAAGCTTTCAGGTGTTTCCAGTTAAGTGATGAATGAATGATAGAAAATTAGAACAAATGGTCATAACATTAGCTTTTAAATATCAGGTTTCATTTTGTCATAGTCTGTGTTAATAATACTCAGAAACTTAATTCTTTAAAATGTTTTCTGTGAGCTCTAGTGTCCATAATAAAAGTATACATACATGTCCATCTTGTCGATTGGTCACAGCTGAGCACACCATGCACCTAGCACTTCAGTACACAGAATGTCCTCAGTCCCCACACGTTATCCCCTGAGAACAGCTGCTGTCTTGTCTTGTGAGAGCAGAGATTAACTTCTTCTGGTTTTATATTTTAGAAAATGAAATGATACAGTATATGCTATTTTGTACATTATCTGTTGCTCAGCATGTATGTATGTGATCCGTCCAGTGGTGTGTATTAGATCTCCTGGTCTCCTTTCTGTATATTTCATGGTGTGGCTGTAACACAGGCTATTTATCTCTCCTGTTGTTGAGTGGTTTCTGCTTGGGGATTGGTTCAGATAGCACTGGCATGAATGTTCTCAGAGAGTTGGGCCAGTAAAAGTAGAATGTGTGAGAGCCACATGTGAAAATGTCAGTGTTGTAAGAAGAGCCACATTGAGAAAGTGAAAACTAACAGGTCATGTTAATGTCAATGATCTGTTTTATTTAACCCAGTATATTGAAAGTAGTATAGTTTCTTACCATCATCATAGTTAGGAAGAATGAAGACTTTGTATGTGTATGTACACAAACACACAGGAATGTATTTTAGATGTTTAAAAATCTGAACCTGTAGAATAGTTGATGAAAGTCCTATAGCTTATTTGTAAATAGTTACTTACCAGTATTAAGAAGTAGTTTGGTTTCTTGGTGAGGGTGGATTTGTTTCTGTAAGAGTGATGAAGTCATCTTCCAACTGGGGAACTTTGAAAGCAGGGCTTGAGGGGAGGAATGGGAAGTTGCTTTCTTGATGTTTTGTTTTTATAAATAACTGGTTATTAACAGCTTAAGCACTGTGTTACCAACACTTAAAATAATAGCTATTGTAATGATTGGACAATTATAATGATAACTTTTGGATAAACTAGTAGAATTGGGTCCCCTCCTAAATCTAGGGAACTATGTTTTACTAGAGATTGGGCAGATGTAGTTTGGATGGTCCCATTTGGAAAATAGCATCACTTGTGAATTCATCAAAAAAAGGTTGAAACTGAACATAATTAAGCCTTTAAAACAGTTTATTTTATTTTATTGTTTTTTTTTAAAACTGTCTACAGTGTGACTTATTTTAACTGTGACTGTCATGTATTAGAAAATTTCCTTTTATTCTTTGTTTTCAAAAATAGCATGTAAAATTTGTTTATTCCAGTGGGAAGAAAGAAAATACATGTTAGTTAGCTCTAGTCCAAAACAGGAATGTAGTATTTAAAAATGTTAATACTGCTTTAGTCCTGTTTTCTGTTTCATATATGAAGAAGTAAAAAACCAAACCTGATATTTATATAAAACCAAGTCCATTGCCATTTCAAGTCTGACTCCTAGAGCCTGTGTCCACAGACAGTGGAGCACTGCCCCCCTGGCATTTGTAGCCTGTAATCCTTAAGGGTCCAATCAGTAAGTCTCCAGTGAGCCACTGTGCCACCAGGGCCCCCTGTGCTATTACACGTAGACGTCTTGATATTTCCGTTGTGTTCACTCCTGATATTTTGGTCTTTAATGTTAAAGGGACTTGCAGCAAAGCATTGCCAGGGAACCCAGTGCTCCTTCAATCCCCACCCCTGCGTATCAGTCCTCTCCTGCAGGGGGACACTCGCCAACGCCACCAACTCCTGCGCCAAGAACCATGCCGGTGAGTAAGCAAGAACCTTAACAAAACGGACGTTGCACATCAGTGTCTGCTTGCATTCTGTAAGGAGCACACACTATAGTAGGGAGATCAGGTGGCCGCCACCTTCATTAAGTGGCCTCCTTGTCATCAGTAACATGCAGTGCTTCCAGAACACTGTTCACCAACTGTTATCAGAAATTGGCTAAGTTGAATAATACCCAGCCCTTGAACTTTTCCACTGACATGACCTGATAAGCAATGCCATTAGGAGACAGTTGGACAAGTGAGCCCCCTGGCCTGGTCTTTACTATGAAAAAGAGGGAAGGTTGAGTGAGCGTGGAGGGTTCACTTGGTGCTATTGGGGAAGATGGTTAATTTTCTTAGGGTGTGAATTGTGTGATTATAAGGATTTCCTCCTCCTCAGGACTTGTTTGCTGAATAGGTTGATAAATGTGTGGTTATATTTGTAGCTAAAGCAAATACAGAAAAATGTTAAAAGTTACTGAACTTAATTTATAGCTAATGCGTATAGGCAAAATGTTAACAATTATTCATACATAGTTGTTAATGATACTGTTTTATATAAAAGACTTAGTGGGAAGAGGAACTAGCAGAAAATAAATATTAGGCTGAAGGGAACGGAGTTATTAGGGAACTGGGGAATTATTTCTCAACCATGATAAATTTTTAGAGTATATTGACATTCAGGAGTGGGAATTAGAAATACACATTTTGTTGGATTCTAGAGTTTCTCATGTGTCCACATTTATTTTCATCACTAGCATTTTGAGAGAAACTGAAAGGACTTTGTGAGAAATGGTGCCTTTTTCTTGCAGCCTGCTAAGCCTCAGCCCCCTGCCCGGCCCCCACCGCCTGTGCTTCCTGCAAACCGTGCTCCTCCAGCCACTGCTCCGGCCCCGGCTCCTGCGCCGGCCGCTGCTGGGCCCACGGCATCTGCCCCGTCGCAGGCCCCCGGGTCAGCGCCCCTTCCACAGGCCCAGGGACCCCCCTACCCCACCTATCCAGGATATCCCGGGTAAGATTGAAAGCATGGTGGCATCGAACAGTTTGGATAATACTGGTTAACACTTTGAAACAGGATGACCCTTTCTTAAAGGGAGGTGTCTTGAAGGTGACACATTTTTTTCCTTATCTAGAAATAAAAATGTTAAAGCCACTTAGAAGTAGTTAAGTAGCTTTTCCCAAGCCTTAAAATTCGATATATTTATGAATTTAAAAATGTTACCATGTTGGTATCTATTAAGTACATGTTTTATGTATGCAAATCTAGGTTGTATTTCCTTAGTAATCCCTATCAGGTGATAAATAGATGGCTTTTCTGAACACAATATGAAAATACTGCTTCTGCTTTGAAAGTTTGAAATTCTGATAAATTGCTTAACAGGAGTTTATTGAGAGGTAAAAATAACACCTTTTCAAAAATCAGCTTCTTTGTGATTTGTCTTTAAAAAAGACATTTTACTGCTCTTTAAAGATGTGCCCATTTTATGTTTTAAGTATCAGAGTTTTACAAGCTGTAAATTTCTGTACATTACAGTGAATATGAAATTCTGTGGGCCAGGAATACAGTTAGAGCATTACTTTTACCATATTTAATGAAGGGTTTCCGTTTTTATTTCTCGCAAATAGAAAAATATTTCCAACTAATAATGTTTAGTTGAGGTTTAGTTTTACTTTAATATTGTTTTATAGACAGCATTAAATAATTGATATGCTTTTATTTAAATGAATGAAAGTAAGAATTGCTTTTCTTTAGCAGTTATCTTGAAATAGCTTTTTTTCTCTTCTCTGTTCTGTGATGGAATGCAAAATAGAGAAAATTAGTTTTTAACAAAATTGGATTTAGAATAAGCATTCACTATTTCCAGGGATTTTATCTCAGTACAGTTTTTGTTCTCCTCCTCAGGTATTGCCAAATGCCCATGCCGATGGGCTATAATCCTTACGCATATGGCCAGTACAACATGCCCTATCCGCCGGTCTATCACCAGAATCCTGGACAGGCCCCCTACCCGGGACCCCAGCAGCCTTCTTATCCCTTTCCTCAGCCCCCGCAGCAGTCTTACTATCCACAGCAGTAAACTCTCTACCCGGAAGCTCAGCTGCTTCAGTTCAAAGGGAAAGAAATACCGAACCTGCAATAAGTAGACTAAACTCTCCGCGCTGGTTAATCTAATGTCTGTCCTCTCCTGGACTGAACGCAGTTGCCATTCCTGTCTGTGAAAGCTGGAAGCTGCACCCCTGTTCCACATTTGATTGCACATGTAAGATTTGCTGCTGCTGCGGTATAAACACTAGGTATAATAGGATTTGAAGTCAATTATGTTGCCATTCTAAAAGTTGAAACCGAGAAATTAAACCTGCAAGTGAAATATTTGAAACTATTATACTTTTTACATAAGATGCGATTGGGACATCAGATACTTAGAATGTTTAAGTACTGATATTCAGGAAAACCAAGTTTTCTTTCATTTTTTTCATTTATTGATTTAGTTTGATTTTCATTATGCTATTTTGAGTAATCAAGGCATTGTAAATCTTATAATTTAAAAATAAATTACTTAAGAACAGTTGCCATTGTTACGTTTTGTCCTTATTCTCATTTTTGTCCAATGTCTTTGTAGTGTTAGCCTCTCATTCTGTATGTGTGTAGGTTAAACAGCTAATGTGTTTATGTGCATGAGAAGTGCGAGGTAACAGTCAAGTGCAAGGAGAACCAAAAGAATAGTACCAGAAACTTCTCTCTTATTTGCTGACTTAGGAATTTCTGACATTTCTTTTACAAAGTCTTATTATTTGGAAGAAACACAATTGTTACCAAAGAGTCTTCAAATAAATAAACACATGTATATATTTAATGTTTTATTGTTAGCTTCTCCAAAAAAATTGGTACAAATTCTAGTAATAAGTCTTTTATGTTTCATTTTTCTCCTTATAATCCAGGTGAAATAAATCCGTATCATCGACAGTACTGTCTAATGTAATGGAATTGTTTGGAGGAGGTTTAACTGTATTCTTCCTTTCTCCCACTTGTCTTCATTTACTAACATTGAGTGCACAATGTGTGTGACCGGATCTGAGCTCTTCTGTTTTTACGCTACTGAAAGATTGAACTGTTGTATATTCTAGTGCAGGGAGCACACAAAACAATTGTTTGGGAACAAATGCTGATTCTGGAATAGGCCGTGTATTGAACAGTAATCACTGCTGTTAGGGTGTCTGATCCCTTTCTGAGCCTCAGTAAAAGCGGTGAAGTCATCATCATGGAAAGAGGGAACGGGAAAGGAGAGGCTTCTCACCTCACAGGGGGATCTGTTCTGTGCAGGCTCGTCTGTGAACAGCTGAGGCAGGTGAGCAGAGTGTCATTCTGTTCATGTTCAGTTTTTTGATTTTAGTATCAGCCTCTACCTTTATTACGGTTTAGTTGTCATGATATTGTTCCTTGGTCCCCATTCTTTTCTTTGACAGTCTGGATTTATATTTAATGTGGGACTGAGGGTGTGATTGTACGAGGGTACGGATTGGTTTAAAATGATGTATATTTTTTTAAATCTTATTTTGTTGTACGTAGAAAACCTGAAGGCATGTTACCATAACATATGACCTTTGATTACATCTCGTATAGAGATTAATTTAAAATATAGTAGTAAATCTTGGCAAAAATTAGATTCTTCCATGTTGCTAAGTTTTACTAACATGGGTTCATCAGAATATGACATTGATTTGTTTGAATGCTGTATAAATGGCATTTATAGTCTACATTCTCATTATCCATGATATCATATACTAACATGAGATACTCAATGAGAGTTTGGGATATTCCAAATTGCTAGTTTATAATTCTTACCAATGCATAAAAATAAAGCTCAAAACAAAACTGGCCTGAATATTCTCTTGGGGACAGAGGGCACTGAAGAAAAGGTTAAGTGCATCAGTGGAACCGGAGGAAGTTCTAAGGCCATGCAGCCCATTGCCTACGCTAAGCCTGTTCCCCTTGCTGAGCTCCCAGGCACCCAGCCCCTGGGAGAGTGCTGGAGGCCCCGGGAGGAGGCGCCCCAGCTGCCCGGGCCAGCCTCCTTCAGCCAGCTGACCTCCGTCAGCAAAGCCGCCTTCACGCAGCAGCCCTGATCACAAGCTCTGACTCATGCCTCAGGTAGTTGTGGGTCCGTAATTTTGTTCACTCTTGCCTGGAAACAAATGCAGTTGCCTGACCACGTCTAGTTTCAGTGGTGGCTCCTCATGGGGAAGCAGTTTTCCCTGTGTCTGGTTTGCGTTCTTGTTAAAGAGCCCTGTTGACACAGTGGGTCTGTGCTAAGTGGTTTGCAGGAGAGAGAGGTGGCAGTCTGCCTGCCCTGGAAGGACTCTGGGACAGTCCTGTTTTGTCCTGTGGGGCCTCCATGAGTTGGAATCTTTAGAAAGGAGAAGGATACTGATAGGTTTTCCTCTGCTTCTTTATCCTCAGCTCTCAATACATAGCCAGTACCTCCAAGAAAGTTGTTACTGGATGGAGCTGCTTAGTGGGAATTTGGAAGAAGGTGTCACTCTTGTTCAGGAATGCACCCGTGTTTATAGTTAGGCTCCTTGATTTTCTGCCTGAAAAAGGAAACAATTACCAAACCATTTACGTTGGACTTTGGGAGTAATTTTGACAAATTATTTTTCAACGATAGAATTCTGATCTAGTTGGAAATGGGAAAGGAATTGCTTAACTTCTCATTTCTTCTTCCTAGTTGGAACGAGCTGGTGTGATCTAGTCTGGTGTAATTGGTCGAAGGAGAGCTGCCCGTTTACCCCTTATATTTCATTCTCAGTGAAGATGAAGAGTGGTTGGTGCAAACCCATCTTTAGGACTCGTCCTTGAGCCATACCCTCACGTTGTGCAGTTAGGATTTCCCCTCCAAGTCTAGTTACTGAAGAGATGAGAGAGCCGTGTGTCCTGATGCCTTTCCAGTTAAAACACATTTAAGTGTGTTTTCTGTTAGAGCTTTACAGTTGGCAAAAGTGCTTCCTACACATTTCATAAACGTAATAAAATTTGTTAAGTAGATTTCTGTTTGTTAATGGGGAATTAGATTTTTTTTTTAAATTTGTGGTCACTTTATCTTGAATCTTGCTACCTAGTGGCATTGCATTTTTAAAACTTTTGCAATTGTTAAATCACAGCACAAAACAGAAAACAAAGCAAAAAGCAAAGATAAAGTGTTAAATAATTGCTGGTTATAAAATAAACTTTAGAACTAAATGATTGATTGTAAGATTTACATGGAAGAGTAAAGAAGGAAAATTATATTTTTGAAGAAAGAGAATATTCAGGCTTTATTTCTGGTATGAAGTTTATATTTTTAAAAAATTCCTATATTATCACACCAGGGATTTTAGATTCTTTTCTGGTTACAAACATTGCTGGTAGTTGGATTATATTTTTACTGTATTCATTTCTTTTAGGGGGAAAATTGTAAAGAAATAAGGTTCTAGATGAATGTATCCTAGAAATAAAAGTTGATTTTACTTCCTTGGAGTATGAATTCTTATTTTAAGTGTTTATCCTTTAGCTTTGTAAGTTTTTATAATTTATACATGATGTGTTGGGAAATAACCACTTTGGCTTAAACTACAAGCATCTAACAAAGGAAGACAAGTTGTTTGTGTCCTTCTTCGCCTCCGCAGAGTCCTATAATGTAATACATGGATAGGCTGTATTTCATAGTTAGTATTTGCCCCAATCCTTTCATACGAATATCACCCTCAGGTGCCATGTTTGGGTTCTTTTTTTTTCCAAACTAACTTGCAAGATGATCACTTTATTCAGGGAAGGGAGAGAAGGGGGAAATTTGTACATCTATTTAAATATTATTTTATAAATTTTTCTTCCAAGTTCTCCAATGTTTAAAGACCAGATGCAACTGCTTTTTTATGTTGCTCAAAAGGAATTAAAATTTTACCAGAAAAATAGGTTGTTTTTTTCCTCTGCCTGTCCAATTTATTAATTTTGTGTGTGTGTGTGTGTGTGTGTGCGCGCGCGCGCGCGTGTACCGTCAAATCAGATCTGACTGGTACAGGAGGAGATTGTCCCTCCGTCCCCGGCAGAGCATCTGGTGGATTTGAACCGTGTCCCTCTGGGATTGTAGTTGCAGCTCCTTGCCACTAGGCTACCAGAGCCCCCCTTGCCTGTCCGGTTTATTGAAGCTGAACAAGTGCCCTCCAGAAATGGATCAATAGTCTCTTTATAATGTATATTCTAAATATGTAACATGACCATAGATAACCGGCTTTTCTTCCCACTTGCCTGACGTCTGCATTGGAGTGAATGGAGTTGACACTGAGGGCTCAGGAACTGGATGAACGGATGGAACCCCAAGGGCTCCCTGGAGTTGGGTTTTGCTGAAGACTGGCTGAGCAAGGCCGTCACTGGCGAGCCACCGGCCACAGCCCACCAGGTGGTGCTAGTGCGCAGCCTGGCTTCCTTTCCCCGTCTTTCCTGTCTTTCCTCTTACCGTCCTCTCTTGCTTTGATTCTTTTTCTGGTGATTTGGAAGACTATTTGAGAGCATTAGCATTATTTCCTTTTACTCCTCAACCATATCTTTAGTCATACCATTTTTACATTCTGCATTTTATTGGGATTTTAATTTTTGGCCGTGACATTAACTTTCACAACACACGCCTTGTAGGATGTTTGAACATAGTTTTTATAACCAGGAATAGTTGAGATCATTCTTGTCCCTTCTCAGGGTTCCTTCCAACTTTCTGGTGATCTGGGCTTGTCTCTACTATGCCCACCTTCCTCAGTGCCCCCTCCAAGCTCCGTGGGCTTCTGTTGGTAGTCAGTAGCTGTGATTCCAGCAGGCTGGTGTTCCCTTGCTCCCCTGGAATCTGAAAGGACAAGGACCCTTCTGCCTCCACCAGCCACCACCACAGCAGACTGCATTTTGTGATCTTTCTAGAACAGCTTTACTCTTTTGACTAGATAAGACCTGTACATGGGACAAAGTGCAAAAGATATGAAAAAGTATGTGATAAAAAAGAAGTGACATTCCTGCTTCGGCCCCTCAGTGACTCAGTTTCCCTCCTTGGAGACGGAC